AAGATTTCGGGATGTTTGGTCTTGCCAGAGGTCTTCACTCCACTGAGAAAAAAAGAAATATTGGCAATTTTTATATTGTTGCGTCACTTGGTACAAACTACAGTCAAGACAAAGTGAAGAGGGAGTGCAGTGTCATTTTCCTGGTGTGAAACGTACGAGGCCGGTGCTTCTACTCACATCTATAATGTGGGCCTTGTAGGTCACAACATCCCTCAGTGGGCTCCTCTGCAAGAGAAAAATACAATCAAGTCAGTGTGATTCCACTATTTTAGGAAGTAATATACAACACCGACTCACAGAATCAAACGGCGAGCTGACGTTTGGGTTAGCGGGCAGATCCATCTTGTCATGAAACAATGTCCACTATTTAATGCATAACATTACCGCCCTTGCAGAGTATTGCGACGTGTGCGTTGAAGGTATGATGGGCTTCAAAGGCACACATATTAAAGTTACCCTACATCATAGAGTATCAACATGGCATTGTGATGCTTCACATTCTGTAAAGCTCTACAATTAACGTAACAGTTGATGTACAATCATGTTAGCGCTACATATACGAAGGAATAATTGTTGGTAAAACATTTATTATTATGCTTTGTTATACATTTAATGATTGTTGTGTAGAGTTTGCTTGCTTTGGTGTGAAGAAATGTTTGCAGACTTTGCTGAGAAATGTCATCCGGCTTCCAGCTGGTCACCGGAGATAAGAAGAACCAAGAGAGAAATGATTATTCTGCTAGATTGACTGTGCTGAAGTGTTTATCTCTGATCTTTTTGGTACTTTCCACAAACATCTGTGTGTGTGCTTTTCTCTGATAAACCTGATTCTGAGACCAATAAAAGGGTCTAGGGAAGGCTGCCCAGTATAGCTGTGTTAATTTATGTGCGCATTCAAGTCAAGTCAACTTTATTGTCAAATGTGCTCTATGTGCAACATACAGCACAGATGAAATTTTCCTCTCAACCACAGGAGAGAGAGGCGCCGCTGCGGGTACCCGCGCCGCCATCAACAGAACATAAATGACAAAATAATACAACACAACACAGTCCTCTTCTATTCTCCTTGCAAGCGAAAACAACATAAAGACACCTTCTCTCCTCTTTTGTGGAAGTGCATAAATGTCATTTGTGTAATAAACCTGACATTGTACTAACCAGCATAATAACCAATCATAATAAACCCGCTCATTTGTACATATTCTTTCTCGTAATAATTGTGTCTAAATATAGTTTAGCACAGCTTAATTCTGCGGCAATTAGGATAAAATTCAGGGTTATTTCATTTTTTTGACATAATGACATAGCTTTATTGTTGCACATTGTTATGAATGTTGCTTTATTGTTTTTGGCAGCTTTATAATTAGCAATTTATATCACAAGGCTTTATTTTTAAAATGATGAGATGGGGAAAAATGATGTCACAAAGATTTGCTAGTGGTGACAGTCAAGAATAAATACTGCCAAAAATTCGCAGTAATCAGTGTTCAATCAGAACCACCGAGGAAGATTCTCTGAGATGTCTCTGGCATGTGATGATCATTATGTGACGATCATTATGTAATGATTATTTGACAAAGAACAACTAATTCTTGAAAAAGACATGGAAACAAGAGGCTAAAATATTATTTTTTTTTTTTAGATTATCGGTCACCCAGGTCATGGCAGTCAGTTTAGCTTTGAATGGAGGTATCCGGACTGTTCGGGTTTGGAGAAGACATTTCACCTTTTAGCCAAAAGACTTCGTCAGTTCCAAATTTCGAGGCGTGGAGTCTCCCTGTGTACCTCTGTGGGTGTGTACCCTGGGGGTGGGCAAGAGTAGGATGTTTTGTTGGTGCCCTGCATCATATGTATTCAAGACAGTCATGGCTCCAAAGGAAAACGCAACGCCAAAGTGGCCCGCGACAAAAATGAGTTTGACACCCTGCAATTTTCTTGCTTTGGCCATTGAAAAAAACCCGAGTCCACTGGAAGGCAGCATATTCAGCTGGAGGTTGAAGGGATTGGGTGAAACAAATCATTTTGAGTTGGGGACATTGTTTTTAAAATATTACATATATATTTTAAAAGGACATAATTTGAAAAATATATAAAAATAAACAACCTAAAATTTTAGTGGGCTGGGATTCAATTTAGGTGCTATGTGCTGAAGCACCCACCCAAAATGGGCTAGAAATGCCCGTGATACACTCTATAATAAAATATTGTATAATCTCATCCATATTTACAGGCTATAAAAAAATCTATTGATACTAATAATACTTTACGTATAATACGATGTTTTTAATTTACTGAAGACACGAAACACACCATGCTCCTCCCCTCGGAGTTGATTGTTGGGTGCTGAGGTAAAGTGAGTGACGTAGAGGTTTCTCAACCAATCGCCCTGCAGCAAGGGAAAGGCGCTCAAAATCGCTAGCTGGGCGGGATTGCGGGTGTAGGCGGAGGCGTACGGTACACTCATAAGCGGTCACACTCGTCAGTCTGCGCACTCTTTGCCCAACTTCGAAAAGAACCGATGGTCAGTATTTTTTCAGGCTAAATGAGTTGTTAGCCTCCCCCAGCCGCTTGTGTTTATGACCCAGGCCTTTTGTCTTTCAGAAAGCAGCCTTCTTAAGAGGAAGCGACGGAGTAAAAAATGGCCCACGTTGTGAAGTTAAAGGGACTGGACGTGAACGCGAGCGCCGAGGACATCCGGGACTTTTTCCCCCGTTTGCACATCCCAGTGCGCGGCGTCTGGATCTGGATCCTGGGAGGACCGAACCACGAGGCCTTCATTGCCTTCAAGTCTCAAAAAGAGGCACGACGTGCCGTTCGCCACAGCGGACGTACCCTGAAAGGCTCCAAGGTGATGATACGCTTGAGTTGTGTTGCAGAACTGGAAAAAAAACTGCAATACTATGAGAAGAAGAAAAAACACTCCCACCGTGTATCTCGGCCACGAGTAGAGGAAAGGTCCGAGGAGCCGCAAGTTGTTCACCCATCGACATCCCCACCTCGTGATCCGAGAATTGCATCAGCTTCCTCTCCCACAATTTTACCACCAACCGTGCAAAATGGAGATTTGCAGACTTTCGACAAGCCACATGATTGCAAAATATACTCAAATATTCCTACGGGGGGTCAACAGAACTTTGAAAAACCATGTGATCCCAGGATAGCTCCCATTGTGAATGGGTGTCCACAGATACATGACAGGCAATGTGATCCCAGAACAATTCCTGTTCCCAGTGGGTGCCCACAGGTGTGTGATGAGTTACATGAGCACAGAATTTCATCACAGATTGTTCCCAGTGATTTTCTACAGATGTCCGACAAGTCGAAATCTCCCCAAAAATACAAACCTGTTGTTCCCAGTCAAGGTCCGTTGACATGTGGCGAGCCACTTAATTGTACCACTTTCTCTCCTCCTGGTGATTGCGTACAGAATGCTGATCACCCAGAGACATCAGACCCTTTACACAAGGCATTTCTCCTGGGGGTTCGTACAGCTCTGGAAAGTTTCCAATCCTACCCAATTGAGCAACAGGAGGTTTTGCCGGAACATTTACATGCAATTATGCCAGAGACACAGACGTCAGGACCAGGTTACGTGAGGCTGTTTGGACTGCCAGCCTCAACTACAAAAGAGGATATTAGTTTGTTCTTCAAAGGGCTGAAGGTCGCGGAAGTCGTAGTCAACATGAAGTTGGAACACCATCACGTGTGCCTTGTCAAGTTCGACGATAAGCAAGACTCGATTCGTGCGGAGCAGTTCAACAACCAATACATGGGCCCAATTTGTGTGGAAGTACGCAAAGCCACAGAGAAGATGTGGAAACTAGGGTTGGAAGAGTGTGAAAGCGGTTGCCATAATGACGCAAGGAACTCTTTGAGAGACACAGCAAACCGGAAACAGAAGTTCAGGTTGGAGGAAAACCACAATTCTGTCAAAAAAGGCAGACTGTTTCCTGCGTGTAAAGAGTACATTGTCAAGGTTTGCAATCTCCCTCTGTTGACAACGAAGACTGAATTAAGGGAAGTGTTTGACTGTCATGAAATGGAAAAATCCAAAATACAACATCTACTTGACAAGAACGGCGACAGAACAGATACAGCATTTCTAATTTTTCACCGCATGACTGACTGCGAACATGCAATGAGTCGTGATGGCTGGCTCCTTGGCTCAGGCCACATCCAAGTGTCGATAATTAACAGAGATGAAATGATGGACATGAAAAGGAAAAATGACTGGCCTCTGAACCTTTCGAAGAGGAAATCCCACGCGAGAAGTGAGATGATGGAAAAGAACCTGGGTGCCGACGCAAACACATGCCTGTTAGTTCAAAACATGTCAGAATATATGAAGGAAACCCTGATGCTTAAGTTCTCACAAAAATATAACATCACAACAGACGATATAATTACTTTAAATGATGGCAAAGCTTCTTGCACGGCCATGGTGCAGTTGAAATCCTTCAAACTTGTTTCCATGGCCCATAAACTCGCCCAAGACTTATTGGGAGAAAACGCAATTATAAAGCGTATAACTGCGACTCAAATGAATATCTTTGCGAATGAGGGCCTGCGTTAAAGGCGCGGCTTTGGAACCAAAGGCTGAAACGTTTTTATATGGTAGAATATAGTGGAGGGGGGAAATGTCATTGCCAAAACCATTATTTTCTCCCCCCGCCCCCCTTAGTCACAGATCCTTAGAATCATCACAAGCACCTCCACAACCCTTTTTTATACCCCTGGTCCCCATATCAGATTTTGGGCAGGCCTTGGACAAACATCTATTTCATCAAAGGAAAAAAAAAGTGACTGTCTTCAAGAAACTACATTTTTCTCCTGTATGGTTGCTGACGTCTCCAGTTTGGTTCTTGTCGTTACAACCACTTACTTGGGAAACTTGTATATTCTCTTTTAGCAAGAAGAGAACTGGAAATACATCATTTGTTTATTGTAGAAATTGAAGATTTTTGTTAGATTAGCATCAGAAAATCCTTTCAAAGGGTGTGTTTTTTTTTTAACAAAGCAAAAACAGTCAGAAAAATACAAAGAATGTATCTACAGTTACTCATACATTCACAGCTAATGGACACGCTGAAGACAAGCATCTTGAGGTGTCACATCATTTCAGGAATCTGCGGGGACCGTCCATGAACAGAGACTGACCTGTAGAAAAAAAAAAAGATTTGATTAAAACCACATGGACCCACAAAATTCAAGACTTTTGGTCAAAATGTGTAAAACTACAAGTTATACATGGATGTTAGTAACGATCTGTTGCTGAATATACTGTAAACGTAAACAGCACAAGGTCTAACACCCAACATGCATCTTTTCTATTGAATTTGAATAAAGCCTGGTGGAAAGGTGAACTTGACTGGTAGTGTACCTTTAGGTAAAGCTCGAGAGTATCTATCACTACTCCTTGGCAGACTGGAAGAGGGCGATGACAAGAAGTTCAAGTTCATTGAAAAGCTATTCTTGCTGGGACCCTGCGCAGAAGAGACGTGCTCAAGATTAAAACTTGGTCAGCCTCCGCATTAATTGCCTAACAGACAGGAAAAACAAACGGTGACAGTATGAGAGGTTGAGGCAGTCATCTCAAAGTAGATTGCGGAGACTGAATTGGCTCACTCTTTTGCATTTCAAAAAAAGACATCCATTTTGTTCAAGATAATATAAACAAGAGGTGGGCATTCCGTCAGTACTGGCGGAAGTTCGGTAAGCTGACGATTGACGTGATTTTTTTTTTTTTAAAAGACAAGTCTAAGCACTCATGGAGGCGAGTTGTCATCCGTCGGTGTAATTGTCACAAACCGGGCCAAGTACCGACAACCCTTGCTGTTGAAAATGAATCCAATTCCGTCTTCACATGATGACGGAATTGCCATCATGTGATGACAATTCTGTTTATGACAGTCGCTGCTTTATTCAATAAGTTTTACTGACATCTGATTGTCGCTATATAAATCAGGGTGTAGTGTAGTGTTGGCATTTCCTTGAGCATCTAGTGGTGCATTGTAAATTGCGTCTTATAATGCGGTGCGTCCAATATATGAAAAAATTTAAAAATAGGCCATTCATTGAAGGTGTGCCTCATTATCCAGTGCGCCTTTTAGTGTGGAAAATACAGTAAGCAAAAAATAAAAATAATAATAATAATTTGAAGATGTCTATCGTATCCGAAGGAATGTTCTGCACGTATATCTAACCAACAACTCCAGTGTCCTTTGTTTAACTTCTATGGATTTTCGCGGGTGAAGCTCCTTACTTCTGGCGCTATACTGTTCAGTCTGTACTCCATCAGCTGCTCTGTTAGTTTCTGTGTCACCTTCAGAACCAATTGTGCATCGCTCTCGTTCTCTATCTGGAAGGTCTCCTTAAAAAAACAAACAAAAAAACAACACATTCAGCATCATTATTGTACGCAACTGCTCAGAAGGAAACGGAATGATTGCCATGAAATGAAGCACCTACCAGATAATGAAGCAGTTCGTTTGAATCACAGCCACTGTCTGGTGGTGCATCCATGTGTCTTGGCCTATCAAATGGTTTCTTTACCGGTCTGTCCATTAAACTGGGAGGCAGCTTAATCTGTGGGCCTTTGTACTGGTCAGCAAACCTTTGCCTAGCGTTAAAACGATCACGTCCATTCATTTGGTTAAAATCATCTCCAGGCCCATGCGGATACGGCCTTGGACTCATATCAGGGTCTGGGAAACGTTGCTTGGGTGAAAAGCGCCCAATGTTGGATGGCTCATATTCATCCGGACTAGAGTCTGGGAAACATGGCTCAGGTGAAAACCGTTCAAAATCGGATGGCTCATATTCATCCGGAAACTCGTCGTAAGAATCTTCATTCGGGGGAAACTCCTCATGAAACAACTGGTCATTGAATTTTGGACCTAAGGAAACCAGAATAATGTTTAATCAGATGAGACAACAGTAAGGTGCTCAATAACAAATATAACCCACCAAATGGTGGTCCATTTGGCCCCCTGCTGTTTTCTGGTGTGGGCAATGGCTTCGGTTCAGCAGAACCTGAGAACAGACAAAAGGTATCCAAGTGGCACCGAAGATCCCAAACAAGTCCTATTTTACACAGAGAAGTTCATAATAGAATAACTTACGGAGTCCTTTGAAAGCGGGTACATTGTAGGGCTCCTTCATGACCACCTAAAGCATCACCCAAACAAAGAAAAAAACATAATCCAGAATAAACTCGTGCCTTGCATATTAAATTCGTGTGTATCTTGTCAAATTGAAATGATTTAAATAGTGAATTAACTCAAAACTGACCTTGACTTGTCCTCTCCCCACTTTTTGTGCCAATTCAGCTGCAGAATCCTTAACCATCTTCCTCACAGCAGCATCTTTGAGGAGTTCTTCCTTTTCCCAAGGGACTTTGTCAGGATGGATCTTTTTCTGTATACAATACAAAGGTGTTTGGTTATACAATTTTTAAAAGATTTACTTCAATCGCACAAACAAAAAAACCCCAATTTGGAGTAAATGATATACAGTGGTACCCCTATTTACGAACATCTCTTCGAAAAAAACATAATCCAGAATAAACTCGTGCCTTGCATATTAAATTCGTGTGTATCTTGTCAAATTGAAATGATTTAAATAGTGAATTAACTCAAAACTGACCTTGACTTGTCCTCTCCCCACTTTTTGTGCCAATTCAGCTGCAGAATCCTTAACCATCTTCCTCACAGCAGCATCTTTGAGGAGTTCTTCCTTTTCCCAAGGGACTTTGTCAGGATGGATCTTTTTCTGTATACAATACAAAGGTGTTTTGGTTATTAAATTTTTAAAAGATTTACTCAATCGCACAAACAAAAAAACCCCCAAACAAACCCAATTTGGAGTAAATATACAGTGGTACCCCTATTTACGAACATCTCTTCATATGAAATTTTCAAGTTACGAAACGCCTCAACAGGAAAATATTGCCTCTTGTTACAAAAGAAATTTCAAGATTAATACAGTAAGGGCTGCTACGCTAATGTCATCACTGCTACATTGTAAATTCTTCTGCTGCCGCCGCTACTATACTGCCTGAATGGCCGCGCAAAGAAATGCACACAGGGATCAATCATTTGACGTTCGAAGTGGTATGTGCCGAGGTCAAGTTTGACAGGTAACATTCAAGGTTTGGTTATTAAATTTTTAAAAGATTTACTCAATCGCACAAACAAAAAAACCCCCAAACAAACCCAATTTGGAGTAAATATACAGTGGTACCCCTATTTACGAACATCTCTTCATATGAAATTTTCAAGTTACGAAACGCCTCAACAGGAAAATATTGCCTCTTGTTACAAAAGAAATTTCAAGATTAATACAGTAAGGGCTGCTACGCTAATGTCATCACTGCTACATTGTAAATTCTTCTGCTGCCGCCGCTACTATACTGCCTGAATGGCCGCGCAAAGAAATGCACACAGGGATCAATCATTTGACGTTCGAAGTGGTATGTGCCGAGGTCAAGTTTGACAGGTAACATTCAAGGTTACCGTTGTCTTAAATGACTGACTTAAATCAACGGGTAAATTCACGCAACCAGAAAAGCAAAGCAGTTTCACATCCTTCTCTTTTGCACATATTAAACAGGAAGCGCCACAGAGCGCAGGCCTCTATTTCAGGATAAAAAGGAAGCGCCACAGAGCGCAGGCCTCTATTTCAGGAAATACAGTCACATTTCACTGGTTTTAATCATGCAAATAGTATCTTTAACTCCTAAAAAGCCAAACGACTCACCATGTAGGTGAAATTGTGTTGTGCGCTTTTCACATGAGCGATCATATCGTGCTGCAGGCGGGTGCTAATGTCATCACTGCTACATTGTAAATTCTTCTTCTGCTGCTACTATACTGCCTGAATGGCCGCGCAAACAAATGCACACGGGGATCAATCATTTGACGTTCGAAGTGGTATATGCCGAGGTCAAGTTTGACAGGTAACATTCAAGGTTACCGTTGTCTTAAATGACTGACTTAAATCAACGGGTAAAGCAAGCAGTTTCACATCCTTCTCTTTTGCACATAGTAATAAACAGGAAGCGCCACAGAACCCAGCCACTGGGGAGCAGTGCCCTCCCCTGGGGGTGCACTGTTCCCCAGTGCCGGTCCCAAGCCCGGAGAAATGGGGAGGGTTGCGTCAGGAATGGCATCCGGCGTAAAACTTTTGCCAAGACGACCATGCGAGTTGGTAGGACGGTTTACAGGGGCGGATGGAAATTACTGACTCGCTGTGGCGACCCCTGAATAGGGATGTGCCGAAAGGAGAAGAAGTAGAAGATACTGTGAGCTGGTTTAAGGCGGTCCACCGAGACCCGCTCGGGTTTACCCCCCCATGTCAATGGAGGAAGGGGCCCTCATAAGGAGGGCGCAATTAACTCCTAAAAAGCCAAACGACTCACCATGTAGGTGAAATTGTGTTGTGCGCTTTTCACATGAGCGATCATATCGTGCTGCAGGCGGGTCACCTTGCAAAGCCTGCACTCATAGTGTGGCGGGACAGTTTTACTGGGGCTGCGGTACTCCCACACATACTTAAGACCTGAAAACATTTCATTTGTTCAGAACGCTGAGTGTTTTAATCCCACAGTCACGGTATAAGGATGACCTTTTTATTTTTTTTGGCAAGCAGTTTCACATCCTTCTCTTTTGCACATAGTAATAAACAGGAAGCGCCACAGAACCCAGCCACTGGGGAGCAGTGCCCTCCCCTGGGGGTGCACTGTTGCCCAACGCCGGTCCCAAGCCCGGAAAAATGGGGAGGGTTGCGTCAGGAATGGCATCCGGCGTAAAACTTTTGCCAAATCGAACATGCGAGTTGATATGCGGAGGACAGGGAATGATGGAATTTGATGACTCGCTGGGGAGAAAAGCAAAGCAGTTTCACATCCTTCTCTTTTGCACATATTAAACAGGAAGCGCCACAGAGCGCAGGCCTCTATTTCAGGAAATACAGTCACATTTCACTGGTTTTAATCATGCAAATAGTATCTTTAACTCCTAAAAAGCCAAACGACTCACCATGTAGGTGAAATTGTGTTGTGCGCTTTTCACATGAGCGATCATATCGTGCTGCAGGCGGGGCACCTTGCAAAGCCTGCACTCATAGTGTGGCGGGGCAGTTTTACTGGGGCTGCGGTACTCCCACACATACTTAAGACCTGAAAACATTTCATTTGTTCAGAACGCTGAGTGTTTTAATCCCACAGTCACGGTATAAGGATGACCTTTTTATTTTTTTTTGCTTACCGAGCAAGCTATTTGGGATGCCGTCCAACACTTTGCTCAATGATGGCACAGTCTGGAAAGATGTTCCTTTGACATATACTGGTGAAAAAAAGAGCAATATTAGAGTTGCTAAACTATCACGCACGCTTGATAGAAGCAAATCGGGAACAATTCTTTGTGTTTTACAATTTGCCCAACTTTAGTTGGAGGTGAGGAGTTTCTTATCGGAGGGACTGGAAATTAGGGCTGGGTACTGAGCATTAAAAAAAAAAAAAAAAACCCAGCCTAAAGGAGTTAAGCATTTGTTAACAAATCCATACAAAAGAAGAAGTGCAGTAATGTTCAAAAATAACACCCACAGAAAAAAAAAAATACATGAAGAAGGATGAAAACGGTTTTGCAGTTCCAGGGGATGTCAGTGTGTCATAACTTTCATGTTCTGCCTAGATTAACAGAACATGACCATTCAGAATGCAAACAGCGGAACCCTTGTAGGAGTCCGGGGTAATAACCACGTGTAGGTGCTGAGTTTGCAATACAAGAGAAATAGATAAGGTTGCCCCTGGGTGGCTAAATCTCTACATGCCAGAGGAACCTCAGCAGAGATACGAAAATTAGGGATGTTCAGACAGATCAAGGTTTTAAGATGCTGATACTGATCATCCACGAGTGTGATCGGCCGATACTGATCGGATGGATTTGGTGCAAAATGTTCAATTTTAGAACCACAACAAAAGATTTCTGTGAAATCATCAATTAATCTGTTGACTTCATCAATTGTTCAAAAACAAGACATTACGTCAAATTGACAGTTCAGAAAATGCAAAAACAAATTCAGTGAGTATTTTGGTCTGTAACATGTCAGAAAATCGGGGAAATGTGGATCATTATTTTTCCCCAAAGGAAAAGCAGATGGTTGCAAATGGCCTATATGGATTAAACACTATTGACATTGAGCCTTGTGTTCCAATTTGAATGCAACCAAATTACCAAATGAAATGAAATTACTCCAAATAATATCTTAACATCACAGAGCAAATCAGTATGTAATTTCATTTAGGTTCAAAGGGGCAGCATGTTTCTGTTCCCAATCCTGCTGGAGTATGAAATTACTACTTCAACTATTAATTTCATTAAGTATAGCAAAACCATTCCAGAAGAAAAATAATAAGAAGAGTGTTTCATTTACTGCCTTCAGTTGATCAGGCAGACGGATTCCCTTACTGCAAGTTTGTTCTCACCTCTCGTCTTCTTCTTTCTCACTTTAATTTCACTTTTCGGAAGTCATTTTGTCAGTAATAAAACGTGAAATGTAGAACGAACGGCTACTAGAGTGATTGATCAACCATTTAAGCCCTTGATCGCGTTCAATGATCACACTTTTCACGAATATCAGCCACCAATCAATTGGAGCATGCGCGGCAAACACCAATGAGATCCCACTAAATCATGACTGCGCACAAGTATTTTGATTTACGGTGGGTGTTTTGAGATTGCTCAGATGCAAGTGCTTAATGACGTCAAGTTTGAATGGACAGGGTACACCTGTTCTGTCCCTTTACGATGCAGGTGCATTGGCAAATAGCCAAGACCTTTACAGATCAGATTTTTATCCACATTAGGAAGCAGTCTGATTACAATGTGAAGATATCCAATTGCATTACTTTTTGTTCACTTTACACTGCCATGACAGTCATCCTTGCAACTAACTGTGCCACTTGAGGGGGTTGGGAAGTTTGGTCGAGAACAGAGACGTTCAAAAACCGAGGTTTGACTGTATTCCCGAGCCGAATTTTGTTCTCAGTAACGTCTCTGGAAAGATGCCTTCCACGCACGGACCTGCAGTGTCGTGGAATAAATAATATGGCGTGCCTGCAACTGTGAACATTCATCTTAGACGAACAACAATTTAAATGTTAGTTCGAAAACGACATCACAGAGGTCGAAGGTGCAAAATAACTTTCATACAGCCTAAATCAAAAATTAAATTGCGTAATTTCTCCACAGACCCTTAAAGGTGGAGTTTATTGACATTGCACTTATTAAAAATTCAGCCCCAAGGCCAGTTTAGGGCTGGGGCTCGGTACCCATCACTAATCATGACACAAGGTGCTGTGCCAGCTCTGAAACTCCTTCCGAAGAGGGAAAATAGCAGGGGCGACTTTGGTTGTCCCCTCATTCCGTGCCAACGCCGTTCATAATGAACAGATACACAGGAAAGAAGTAGAAAATACAGGCATCTACAGCCAGTTTGACAGGTGACTGTTGCCCCATGTTGATGCACATTTAATTGGCAGCGGTCAGTCAGGCCGCGGTCCTGCTTGAGGTCAAAACCCATACGACCACTATTCTCCTGGCTGAGAGTCAAGTGTGCCACCCAGCAGGCTAAAAGCCAAGGCTGCTAACCCAGTGGCTGGTGCTACTCTCAAAGCTCTTCCATGAGTGAGGTTTGACTAACGTTTTTTTGCACAGGACGAGCGGCCATCCATTAACTCACATCTCTTAAGGCGGTGATTAATTCTAAGTGAATTTTTTTTTTTTTTTTTTAATATCCATACCTGGTATGCACAATGCTTACAGGTTGGCAGGCGACCATTAAGAGGTGAATTTGTAATACTTTCTGTTTATAATATTGGTCTCTCTTGAACAATAGCACTAAATGGCACACAACAGGCCCAATAGCTGAGAGTTTCAGAAAGTGGTGGACAGGCCACCACCCATGATCTGAAGTAGAGACAACAAGGTCTCAAGCTTCAATTCTCTCATCTCAGGCAATGTACCATGTATGGAAGACTTACCTATGTCAGCAGAGTGCTGCGGGCGGTACGTACCCTGTCAAGAGGAGGGAATAAGTCCACAGGAAGGAGAGAGACACAGATGAATTAGTGACATGGTGACACTTAGCTGTGTACTGAATTTCACGCTACACAATGTACACCATGTCTCACGACGACCCTGCATCAGCAGTGTCATGGCTACACGTGTAAAAAAATAGCCACCAGTCAATGTGAATTCTCATCAAGAGAGAATGTGCATTGGGTGTCAGGCAAACACAAATATTAACTGAATGAGTATTAAGGCCATTGGCCACATGTCAACAGGCCAAGACCTCAATCCCATTCCCAAAAAAGCAGGTTGAGGGAGGAAAAATGAAAAACAGTTGGAGAGAAATCTCCCCCACTTCAGCTTGTTTGGATGTACCCATCAATTTTTGATTGTGCTTGTCCTCATTTGGGTGACCGATCCCAACTGACTTTAAGGAGAGGCTGGGTGCACCCAAGGACTGGTCAGAAGTGAATTACTGGGTACATAGAAAAAACTGCTAACACTGAAACAACATATAAACGCCACACAGGAGGTTGGGTCTGAATCAAGATTCAAACCCGAGGCAGACACCTCAACCGCCAGGCAAAAGTGTCTCCTTGTTTGGGATTCCTTATATCTGTGGAAATTCCAAACATTACCTCGTAGTGACAAGGCAAAGAAATAAGGTGTTTTTAAGTTTAAAACTAGGATTACATATTTGGAATTGTATACTACATAAGAGTATCAACTACTCCTACACTAACTCCATTTTAGCATGAGAGTGAATGTATGATCTAAGAGCAATCGTGAATTTTGATTCGATTGGAGTGGAAATGGGCACGTGATGTTTCAGACATCATCAGGGGAAAGTGTCCGCTGTTCATCCGGTGTGTTGTAATGATTTCAACAGGCAGCCTCGGTTTGTGCCAAAGCCGTTGTTAACTGCATGGATATGGGCACGTGATGTTTCAGACATCCAGAAAGTGTCCGCTGTTCATCGGGTATGTTGTAATGATTTCAACAGGCAGCTTCGGTTTGTGCCAAAGCCGTTGTTAACTGCATGGATGCCCCAGGCTCACTGAAAGGGCATTAAGATTCCGGGTGGTGCATATTCTCGTTCCCTTTCTCACAACTGTGACTGACGTTCACAGTCATATGAGGGGCAGTGGACGAAAAGACAAAAACATACATTCCGATAGCGCCATTGTCACGAAATACTTACCATGCCGTATTTGTTTGCGTTCCATAGCGACCCCCTGTTCAGAGGTTTTTTTTGCGTAAACTGGAAGCCTGGAGGTTTGAAATCCATTTCCTCGGTTTGCTCACTGAGTGATGTTAAAACCATAGAAAAATCAAGTCAGAATGGTGCAGCCATTTTAGGATCACAACATGCAGTACACCCGTTACAGTCCAGTTTATTCGTCGTTCCCATTATCTTCCGCATAGCTTCGTTTCGGGCCTAGTCAAGCCATTTGAGAAGACCACTTACACGTTTTGATAAAACAAGACAAATTGGCTCCCTAAGTCACAAAATATCGGTAAAACCTCACATGTTTATATAATTTACCTGAGATGTTTGCAATAAAAGCTCCTATAACTCGATCCAAATAAGCGTAGCGGACACAGTGGAGGAAGGCGGCCAAGAACTGTCTGTGTGAGACGATCGATGTGCCTGTTTAAAAAACGCGCACACGTTGTTGACTAAATCTAAGTAATACGACCTCGAACATAAAACATAGACGGGCAGTATCAATAATTAAGGATATATTTTTTCATCCGTCCACGAGTCAAAAGAAATATAATTTAAAGGAAATTAATTCATTTGTCTAAGGCGTTTATGGGGACGACTATAAAGTGTGTTGGTATTATTCACCAGGACACACCGACAGGATTTCATTCATATTTTTGGTAAAATATATCCTCGTCTTTTTTGAAATAAAATCTTTATTTGTATGTGCACCAAAACATTTTTTTGCACCCATTTTATCCAAGGAAATTGGTGACGAGCCTCTTATACCCCATGCTTCGCCGCCGTTGTTTTTTCGAGAAAAAAAAGGGGGTGGCAGCGGCGGCGGTGGCTCATAAAACAAGCGTACATTTGGCTCAACTGAAAGACGGACACGACTCAGAATCCAAAATATTAACACACTCAGACATAATAAATATTTTCTATAATTTTTCCTCACCTTCAGATATCGACGATCCTGCACCGGAGTGTAAAATTGCAGCAGGCACAACCAAGGTCTTTAGCTGGGGTAGGTTACAAAATAAACACTGGCAATGATGCCCATGCAGTTAGCTCGCTACTGCTTATGCTAGTGTAGAAATGAGGGCTGCAAGCTGAGGAGTGAAAATCTGATTTTGATAGCTAATTCACACTGTGTTTCGTATTCTGCGGTGTACCGTGACATTCATTTATTCACGTCTTCTGCATTTGCCATTAGATCCAGTAAAACTTTTGGTTCGAGATGGCTAAACTGAAATCCAAGAAAAAGAAGAGACAGGATGACTTCCAAAAAGTGAAATTAAAAGTGGGAAAGAAGAAGCCAAGAGCAGACAACGCCACCAATACAAACTTTCGCACAAAGGGAATATATCTGCCCGAACAACTGAAGACAGACACCAGTGGTCCGATCACAAACAGGCAGCTTGGCATCAATGTAAGTGTTTTACATCAATGGTTCTAAAACGTTTTGGACCCGTCGCCCCCAGTCACGACTCACGAACCAATGTCCAATATCATTTTTTCAGATGTAAACAAACGTCAGGGAATCATTGGTTTGACAGTGTTTTGTGTGCATTTATCGCCCCTTTCCTAGGACCTGTTGTCTCAGCTCCACCATTATAATGCCAATGTCAAGCACGGTGCCTTGTTGGGCTTGAGGGAGCTGTTGTTGGTGAATCCCTCTCTGTTAGAGCAGCATTTGTCACGTTTGCTGTCCGAGGTAGCTGCTGTGTTCACAGACAAGGATGCCAATGTTCGGGTGGCAGCCACACGTGTGCTCAGGTGAGAGAAAACTTAAATATACTACCATTCACCCCGGTCGCAACTAATGTCTTGAACTTATTACAGGTATATTGCCCAGTCTGTGCCCGCGGAGCGAGTGGCTCCATTTTTCCCCCTCCTCAGTGCCCACCTGTGTTGCGCTATGACTCACATTGAGTTGAGCATCCAAGAAGACGCCATGAAAGTCCTGGATGTGCTGTTGGAGCACTACCCAGCCCTGCTTGCTGCACGGCCAGCCGTGCTCCTCACCAACTTCCTGGAGTTAATCTCTCACAGACAGACCAATGGAGGAGCTAAAAAGGAACAGGAGGCCAAGGGACGCACTTGGGCTCTCTCCGTCAACCCCAACAGGACCGTTACCAGCCAGCAGTGGCGCCTCTCAGTGCTCCTTAGGTACGCCTCAGTGACTGATTACACATTCATTAAACTGACCCTCCAGATGCATCGCGTTTACGTGTTTTGAAGCCTTTTTGTACAAATGGCCTATTTTGTTTAAATGTTGTTCACAGAATGATCTTTATAAATATGTGTTGGTGAGCACTTCTCCTTTGCCAAATAAACCATCCACCTCACAGGTCTTGCTTATCAAGATGCTAGTTAGACAGCATTTGTCACTTAAAACTACATATCCATTGACACTTGGCATCAACGTGATGGCCTCTCCAGTACATCAGGAAGGTGTTTTCAGATTGATACTGTCACCTAGTTGCCATAGCGGCAATAAATATATGTTGTATGCCTGGCAGCAGGCAGCCTAATAAGTAATTGATGCTCAACATGGCTAATGATGAGGGAGGGAAAAAACTAATTTATGTTCAACACAATTGGTTGTTAAGTAGAAAAAAAATACACATTTTCTTTCACTGCACTATATTTTTGGCCTTATATGGTTTAAGTTAGCATCTGCAGGGTGAAATTAATTTGCATATGTCATAGATGGTTTAGTAATTGTATTGCTGGTTTTGGAGTCTCCTCCCTTAAGTACCTTGGCAGTTAACCATGCAAATGGTATCACTTGTGTTTTAGACTTGGGCGCTTCCTACAGGCAGTAGTCGAGGAAAGACCCGTGGAGGATGGTGATATGTCGGCCCCATCTGAGGGAGTGTTTGGTTCAAGTGGTGAGAGCAGGATTACGCCAGTGAATGCCGTCTGGGAAGAGCTCATATACAGCAAGATCGGAGTTCAGGTGTATGAGAATTCTGGGAGCAAACCAAGCCCGCATTCCACATTTAAACTCAGGTATGATTGCATTGCTGTTAAAATAGTTTTTCCTGACCAGCACTGTCGAAAATGGATGGGTGGATGCTCATTTGGATATGTATGGTTATAGTTACGTTCTCACTGAAATGTGAAATTCTTCCTTATCAGCTTTTCTGTGAGACTTCTAATGGAAATTTTTGGATTAATATTTTCATCAATGATATCGCGACAATCTTAGCTATCACATTATTTTTGTTTTTATAGACCAAATTCAGATCATCCAGGTGAAACATGTGAAGGTTTCGACTCGGCGGAGGCTGTCCAGAGCTTTGCATCGACTCTGGTGCCGCTTTTGCTTGAAGTGTGGGTGGAAGCCAACACCAGTGACTCTCCTTGGAGCCACTCTGACGGCGGTCACCTGTTGAGCCCAGACGCCATGTCCGTCATGTTCCAGGTTCTGTCTATTTTGCAACTGCTTCGAAAACTGGCACCGCGGAAGGAGCATGAAGATGCGCTGGTGAGATAAGGAAAGCACAAACAAACACCTTGGAATGATGAAAAGCTTATGAGGATGTTTTTTAAGATGATTTATTGATTGACTGATTTTTTTTCTTTTAGGATGCATGGTTCCGCAAGGAATACTTAGGAGAGTTCAAGCAGCACTTTATGAAAAATTTTCCGTACAGCCTTCATGACGCACCCAAACATAAAAAGAAAGTAAATACCAAGAGGTACGTGTTTTATTTATTTGACTTTTTTTTTCTTCTACTTCTAATAATACCTCATTACTGAGTGTTATGTAGAACCTTCTTTCTGTATTTGAGTAAATATTTGAAAACTCCGAAAAATCTAAGCAGTACTTGAATACAAATAAATATTTGCCTTGACTGCCCGAAGTCTTTTTGAAGCACAACAGTGGAATATTTTTCACTGACCAAATCAGTGATGTAATGTTTGCCCAACTGCAAAACACGACTTATTTCTTCTTATTCACAAGTTGCCGAATGTGAAGCTTAAAAGACAGCGTATCGTCATTTAGAAAACATAAATATTTATAAGATGAGACGGCTATTAAATATTTTAGTGTGCGAGGATCCTCCTGAGAATCCTATTGAATGATCGAGTATTCGGGGAAAAAACACATTTTGTAACATAAAGCCTATTTCAAATATGTTATGTCTTCGCATCACTTCACGGTCTTTCCTGCAGGGCTAAGCAGACCGCAGCTCTCCCCGACGCTCACGTCGATCCGCTGGCGCTGAACATCACACTTTGCCAGGTGATGGTGTCACTGAGCCAGAGGCAGGGAGTCGGCCGCGAGGCGGACGGAGACTGGCTGACGTCCCTGAGGACTTTTGTGCGAGACACGCTCGGCGGCGAAGTGAAGCTCAGCTATCGGCAACTGCACATGCTGCTCGGGACTGTGTGGAAGATGGTGCTCACGCAAAAAAGCAAAAGTGAGCTTTGGATGAATTTTGTCACAGCCTGGCATACACTGTGTGCTCCTAATGATGGGTCTTTTTGACCAATTATAGATAAGCCAACGACTGATCAAATGACATTGTAGAAAATATTCATATTGTGTTGTGTTGCAGCAGTGACAGAAGACCTGCTGGCAGCAATGTACTCGTACTATCAGCAGAGGCACCTGACACTACAGACCAGGTCTCTTCTGCTGTCTTTCTACAGCAAGATCTACCTGCAGGAGCAGGGACAGTCACATATTACAAGGTAAGTGCAAAGCAGCGCTCTGCAAAGTGGATTCCAAAAATTGGTTCGTCTTTATAAAAGGGATTTGACATTCTTTGGTCAAAATACACAAATGATAAGCTTAACTCATTCACTCCCAAAGACATATTTAGACGTCTTTTCAGACTTCACACATTCAATCCCATGTACTTAGGTTTTCTTTTTTTCTAGCTTATTTTTCCAAGACTGAAAGTCAAATTTTTTTTTTTAAACGCATCTGAAAATGGCTGGTACTGAATGAGTTCATAGACATTTGGAACACTGATGGCAATCACGCTGTTTTTTTTTTTTTTTTTTTTGGAGGGTGATTATGCCGATGAATATTTGCTTTTTTTTTTCTCCCGCCTTTAATATTCAGAGTATGGTTTTCGTTGCCAGGGCAACACTGGGCGGAACGAGGGGTTGCGAGTATCAGAGCAGCTAAAAAGGGGGCCGCCTAAGTACAAAGTCAAAGCTGTATTTTCACTCGTGAAGTCAGCACTTCTTCACCCATCCGCCGAGTTAAATTGAGTCAGTTTGCAGATCCGTGTGAGTGGGCCATGCTGCAGACACATCGGCAAACACACAGACCCTTCTGGCACTGTCAACAACTTAGCAGAGTTTTTACTGATTGTCAGAAGCTCAAATTGACGGAAAATGGATCGATAGATTTTAAATTACCCTGTCCCATGTCATCAAATATAATAAGAAGTATACAGTAAACCCTTGTTGTGTCTCTCACCCTTTTAAAGGAGTAAAGTGCTCAGTCGCTGGCTGGCCTTTCTTCCTGTGCAGTTGTCCCAGCTGGGCCACCGTAACCCCGCTCTGTCCGCCCTGCTCATCCAATCCATCCAGGCTGCTGCTTCCCGAGGCAACAAAGACCTGCTCAGCAGCCTACAGATGCACGCCTGCAAGCTTTACGGTACTCGCACCAAATCTAGCCATTCATTTGTCTGTAGCCCTCATTAGGTTTGTGGATCGTCCTGTCCTCGATGATTTAATCCAAGATCTATACTGTACAGAAACAAGCATGAACACTCATATTCACTTGGAGACTATGGAATGTGTGAGGAAGTTGGTGGACCCAGAGAGAAACCCACGTAAGCACGGGGAAAGCACGCAAACTCTACACAGGAACTCTGGAGTCAAGATCGTAACCCAGAATCTCACGACCAAATCGTTTGCACACTCTTAAACTATTTTCTCCTGCGTTTCCAACTAAGGATTCAAACCAGACTCCAGACTGGTTTTGAAAGACTCTTGGCAAAAGCGAGATTATTGACTCTTGAGTTGATCTCGGAGGCACCGTGACGCTGTCGCTCCCAGGCAGAATTAAAGACGTGCCAGCGCCAAAGATCAGGATCGGTCAGATAGTGTGATTACTGTGTGACAAGGAAGCAGCAGTAGGAGTCGAGGGGGCGGTCAAGAGTTCTGATAGGAACATCACAATGGTTCTTTTGTCCATGGGCTTCTGACATCAGCATGTGCGTCAGCGAAAGACAGACCTCATAAGCACACATAGACACACACGTGTTATCTGAGTGTCTACACGCCTTACGGTTTTCCTGGCATCGTAACAATTTTCCTTACAGTGTTCGCATGATGCCGTCGATTGTAAGCATGACGTCTGCCCGTGTGTGGGGTTGCGCACGCATCCCCCAAAGATCCGCAGGAAGGTGCTGTGGTTCTTCTGCCGTCAGAGTGCCAGCAACGAATGGTGCAGCTGCTCTACTTCCTTCCCAAGATGTCTCGCGCTCTCCTGGCCAATCTGAGCTTCTGCTGCAGCACCGGACGAATCTCTGCTGGCCTTGCCGCCTCTCTCATTCGTATTATACACATGAGGTGAGCTTGAAATCTTCACGGTGCATCGCCCGTGACCGAGGTTCCATCTGAGCTACGAGCGTGCGCAATTGCGGACTGCTCTCTCACCCTCTTAAAGCACAGCGAATGCATAGAGCACATAAAAAAAAATTCCAACATGAGCTGTATTGGCAGTTTCATAATCACCTCATACAGAGAAATTGAAAAGCTTATTCGGCAAATATGGTTTCAGACGTGTCAAAAAAGAGGAGAAATGGTGAAAGTGAAGGAGCCTTTCAGGCTTTGGTAAGGCACCGTGTCGTGTAATCATTGTCACATGGTTGTTCACATGAAGACTCCCACTAGGTTAATTTATCTCATCTCGGGTCCTACGCAGCTTCCGTACTGTGATAATAATGTTAATGTACCTTACTAATATAACAGTAGCCCTGAGGAGGACTTTGTTTATCTTATGACTTGGTTTGTTTATTACCATGGTGACAATTAACTGTAGCGTATGCTAACTTATGTTACTTGTAAAAGATGAAGATAACATTTTGGGACAAAAACATGTTGTTTTTGATGATGATCCATTCCTACGGTGGTGACCGTGGTCTCTAACTAACCTACCTTCATGAAGTAGTCAAGTTATAACTACAGGAAATAGTACGAAAGTGTTGTACGGGCCAGATGAGTTTGCCATTTGAAGTTGCAAATTGCTTCCCCCGGATGGCAGTAGCGCACCATCCCACTCCCACAATCGGCCCGGCCGCCTTCTGCATCCGTCTAATTCCTGGTGTCAATGGGTCAGGTTTAACGGATTTCCAGAAACGATGCTCAAATGGAGACACAAAGAAGTCATTTTTTTGGGGAGGCTGGAATGTGGTGACCAGCGCCTTCCGCATGGGCCTCTCGGCCTTTCCACAACAAAATGTTGTTTCGCCTGATATCCCCCCATCTTCGCTTGGGGGCACGGTCTGATTTCATAAGCTGACTGTGAACACTTTGTTCCCGAAGTTTCAAAATTAAGCAGAATGTGATAAACTCATATATCTTGTCGGTTACGTTTGCTCCAGTCGTCTTGTTTTGCATCTGTCCTCTTTTCGGATCACGGGTGGGCGGCAGTTGACTTTAGGCAATGAGGCGGGCTACACACTTGACTGGTGCTGGACAATTGCCGAGCACATCTAGACAAACAACTTTTACACTCATATCCACACGTGTTTTTGCAGAAGGCCTTGAAAAAAAAAAGATTGCATATGAACCCGCCATGCAGTTATATTAGTTTAAAAATTGCTCAGCCTTACTTGCTTGGCAGTCACAGCGAAAAATCGGTTGAACAATGGCTCGTGTCACTTGTATCTCAAGGCACTGCTATACCCTTGTTTTCCAGGTCATCTCTGAGTGGATGGTCAGTCGGGAGCCAGGAAGCGGCCCTACAGGATGTGGACTACATCAGCTTCCTGTTCTCCACCCTGACGGGCTTCTCATGCGAGCAGCTAGCCTCCCTGCAGGAGGCCGGCGACACCAGAGCGCCGCTCCCCTCGCCTCTGTCGCCCCTGAGGCTTCACCGCACCCCGCCGGACCACTTCACGCACCACTGGGACGTCGTGGAGGTACGGCGCGCAATACGAGTCCCCTCTTATCGTAACCATTACACGTAGAATTGAACTTAGGAGTGAACATTGTTTGGTCAAATTGAAAAACATATTCTGGACAGACGTAGGCCAAGAGTGGCGCACGGAGGCTCAGAGCAAGAAGTTTTATCTCGACGCACAGGTTGGAGATGCGTAGTTATCGGCCACCGTGGATATGTGCTCGCACTAATGAGAGCCGGTGGCGTGATGGGAATGTGACATTTCCGCACTAAAATTACAGTTAACGTAGCCATGCCCTGGGGCAGGTGTGTGTGTGTGTGTGTGTGTGTGTGTGTGTGTAAGAGCAACTAGGGGGTGGAACGCCTTCTAATCCCTAATTCAGCGCCTCAATTAAGGCCTCAGATCCTGCCTCTCTCATTTGCCTGTCTAAGTCAATCACAGCCAAGTGGAGGTACAGAGGAGGGACCGGGGGTGCGTCGGAGGGACAGCACGAAGGGGTGGACGGTGTCAGCGCTGGCGCGGCTGATGGCGCGGACTCGTTTCTAATGACGGGGGGGTGCAGCGCTATGACAAATGCTGCCGTACGCGCTCGCTCGTGCAGGTGGTGAATTGAGAAATTGGATTAGGTTGGAAGAAAATGAGAAAAAAAGCTGATAAAGTATTCTGGTTCCAGCACACACAAAAAAGAAAAAAGTTTTACTTCCTTCATTTATTCTTAATAGAAATATCCTAGTGGACTGGTGCATCCATTAGAATTTGTAGGTTGTAGAAAAGGTTCATTGATTTAATTAGTTCAATTGCATGAATAATATGCAGATTCATGAAACCCCATGAAAATATTTTTCAGACGTCCAATTTTATAAATAGTTCTTTGTCCTATCAAATTTCTCACGATGGTAGTTTTTTTTTTTTTTTTTGGTACAATTATTGTATATACACTTTTGGACGCTTATGTCATCAACTGTGTAATTGAAACGCAAGTTGACATTGATTCAGATGAGATAAAGGAGTAATCGAAAATAAAATAAAGCATTTTAAATAAAATGACTGTATAGAAATGATTACCATAATAAATGATAGGTTCATTTGTGGCTCTTGGTCTATCCTTCTATAATGAATGCATTTTAAAAGATGACTAATTTTCACAGTGGCCATGTGATAAGAAGTCAAACTTTGAAAATTCCCCGTTGTATAACGGTCAAAGTAGATTGTGCCATTTCACCATTTTGGGTACTTTTTGGCACATTTTTTGGACTATAAATCTTGTACTGCTGGAAGCTTTAATGATAACCAGTAAGAACGCTCCGCTCCTTTCTCGGCAATGGTTCACATGTTTGGAAGCCACTAAGAAATGTTTTCAAGAAAATCAGTGTTTTGACTGTGTTCCTGTAATTTTATGTTACTGTAGTTGCAAACAAATTGCTAAACTAAAAACTAAAACAAAAAAAAAAAAAGACATTTCTAAGTGACCCTAAACATTTAAAGTGTGGTGTATGTTTTCCCGTTGGATAATCGATTTAATGACTGTAAAAGGTGTGATGGCAGAGATGGTCGGTGGTGGGGTGGGTGGGGGGGGAGTGTTGCGCTAAGTATGCATTCACATTGATGTCAATGTTATTCTTTTTCAGGAAGTGTGCCAGCGTCTGGAAACTCTGGGTTCAAACGCTCAGTGCTTTGAAATTTTACAAAATGGCATCTTTGAATACATGGTGAGGAACAAAACAAGTCTGTGTTGATTTCCGCACATTTAAAGCCACACACACACACACACACACACACACACACACACAGACACACACACACACACACAGCAATGCCACCGGGCAATGCCACCGGACGCTGCTGAGCAATTCAGTTGCGCAAGCAGTGTGAGGGGTTCCACAAATAGTTTATACGATTAATCCTCTAGTCAGCTCTGGGCAAAAAAAAAAAAAAAGAATATCTATCAAAAGACCAGTGCAAAAATATCATTTTGTCTGATTATGTTGACATTTGAGTAAGGTCAACAGTCATTTTATTCTAGTAAATGACTGACAACAAAAATCCCAAATTGCAAATAGAAATACGGTGGCGCCTTGAGATACAAGTTTAATTTGTTCCATGATTATATTTGAACCTCGAAACAAAATGCCATGAATTGGTTCGAGTCATAAACAACAACAACAACGTGTTTGTTAAATAAGAAAAATAGCACTCAATAAAGTTGTACTTGATAAAAACAAATAGCATATATAGCAGGAATAGGGACCGGGTCGGCTTACTCGTAGTGAAAACTAAAATGTGTGTTGGGGTGGGGGTAAATATTGAGAGGGGGGGCAATGAAAATGTGAATCTGCAGGTGCAGAACCGCAAGTATAAGGGGTCCGCTGTATTGACATAATTAAATCGTGTTAAAAAAACTGAACAGTTTTTGCCACATTTGCCTCATTTCAATGGTATTGTACCGCTCCTTTTGATGTGTGTGCCGTGGTCACTTGGGGGCAGGACTACTATGCTCCTCTGTGTTCATATATCTGTCTCTTAAAGGCAAACACTGTGACACCAGTGCTATTTGTTAGCCCATCTATGGCATTTCCCATTGCATTGTAGCATTGAATTAGTAGACGTTCAGGTCAAGTTATGTGGTTGTTTTAAATACTCAACATGTAATTCTCTTCGTTTTATGTTTCACAGTTTTCATGCGTCTTGGTCTTTTCACATCGTCTCTCACATTGCCGTTTGGTGACTTTGTTTTTAAACTCCCGATGCAAACATTGAAGCTGCTCAGCTTTGTTTGATAGTTTGCGACTTTGCATCTTCTTCCTGATCGCAATCCAGGGATTTTTTTCAAAGCAGTTTACACCTGGAGATTGTGATGGCCATGACAAGGTCTTGATCTGGTAGTCCTTTACCTAAACCTTGCATTGTCCCGCTGGAGAACATTTTACTGACAACTCACCGTCCCTTCTCTGTTAAATTGCATTGCGTGTGTTTCAGACCAAGCTGAGAGTGGTGCCTGACAGCATGGCGGCCGGCCTCCTCAAAGCCGTTTCCAGGCTAATGGACCTGTCCCTCCTGCCCATTGAGCCTGTGTTACGCTTGTTGTCCCGCTGCTGCCTAAGCCTTCTGACCCTGCTCGTCACTCAGCAGCAGCAGCAGCAGCAGCAGCAAGACCAGCACAAATGGTCCTGCGCCTCACAAGCCTCTCATTCGCCGTCTTCATGCGATGCAAACAAATCACGCCCTTAACACGTTTGGGTCTGAATCACAGGGAGGCCATTTGGGGCGTGTGCGTGGCGTCGCTGGGCACTGTGCCCCGCCTGCTGAGGATGGTTCTGCAGCTGCGTGTGGCGGATCTGAGCCAGGAGGAGCTGCCCCAGCTGGGACAGATTTTGTATATGCTGATGCAGCACACGCCGCTGCATAACCAGCTCATAGCCAACACCAGTCTGCTGCAAGAGCTCATCCAGCATCTCACGGTAAAAACATGCGTGGCCGCGACGGGAGGTCAGAAATGGTACCTGTGTGACTCGACGGTCTGAACTCATTCACTCCCAAAGACGTTTTTAAACGTCTTTTCAGACTTGGTCCAGAATTGGCTGGTACTGAATGAGTTAAGTGGTTCCAACTAGATACAGTATATGTGCAAGGGTGGAGAGACAGATAGGAAGATGCTTACCACATGAAGAAAACAAACAAATAGGTAAACACGTAAATAGTGAAGAGGTGAGGGTTCACCGTGGTGGATTTGTGGGGGTGGGGTGGGGAAAGGGGAACCTGAATCCATCCTCCCAATTTGAACCCTTTTTAATAGTAGTTTATAGTTGTGTGTTTTTCCATGCACAAGTTTGACCCATCCATGCTGTGTGTTGCAGAGGTACTCTCGCGGTGCGACAAGGGAGCAGTGGCTGACTGACCTGCTCTACAGCTACAGCGTCACCGTGGCCCACGGCACGTCATCTCAACGTGGAAACCTTCGAGACGTCTACTGATGGGAGGCACACACGCACGCTCACATTGTTCTCCAACATGCAGTCGCTCTGACGCACATATAAACACTTACAAGACCGCAATAGTGACTATGCTTTGTACTCACAACTTAACACGAACACAGTTGGGTCAATCTGTGCTGTTTTTTTTTTTTTTTTTTGTTAACTGCAGCAATGAACTCCTCACTTTTTTTTTTTTTTTTAAAGAGCTTCACCGTGCTTTCGCCTGCCTCTTGTTTTGGTGGAAATATCGTGTTGTGTTGTGTGTGTGTGTGTGTGTGTGTAATTGGGGGGAAAAAAAATAAAACATTTCCACAGCATGACGTGTCCACTGTTGTTTGTATTTATTATAAGATTAAATCAGAAGATGACCCTTCAAGCATCGATCAAAACAATCAGCCAAATGGCCAATGTTTGCCAATTTGTTTTTACCTTTATGTACTTGAATCATTTCCATACGTAAACACATTTTTACATATACACAACAAATTTAGGAAAAGCTAGATTTGAATTCAGAATTCAGGAAAATAGTTTGTTCACCTCATTTCTTCCATTAAAAAAAAATAAAAAATGAGGGGGCGAGGGTGGTAACAAGAAAATGCTTCAAAAAATAATTTGAGTGCAGATTTCAGGAAGAAATATGACGTTGAGGTTTTGCTAAAGCGAGCATATAAATGAGGTGGCACCTGTGGTACTTGTGTTTTTAATGTAAACGGACCCAGGAATGGACCCGACATATTTTTAGATTTCGTTTGTGTGTGTGTGTGTGTGTGTGTGTGTGTGTGTTTCTGCAGGTGGGCTGAGTTCATGAGTGGCTGTTGATAGACTGGCTCATTCTCCGCAACACGAGGAAAGGTTATCTCAGTGTGTGAGTGAGAGTCACGCACGCGCGCATGTGCGCACATGTGTTTGTCTCACAATGGATGAAAGGTTATCTTTTACACTCGTCACTTCGGTAGACTTAACCCCCGCCCCGTGAGGTCATGGCTGTGATATCATACGGCTTAATTTTAGAAGCCGACAATGTGTGCAGTAATTCCGGGGAAGTAAGGGCTGCCAGCCAACTGAGAAAACATTAAAAAAAAAAGTACTGAGGTGCACGCGGGTGTGCGTCACCGCTTTCCTCGATGGCCTCGACCCTGGCTGGAGCTTTGCGGCCTCAGGTGGTAGGAGAACTGCCTGGCTTGATTCACCGCATCAGTCAGGTGCACGTAGTCCAACCCGCTCACTAGAGTCACACAGATATCAGGATTTTGTTTGAAATTTCAGGGACTGAATCTACATTTTGTCCTTCAGCTCCTTGTTAGAGAACAACAAACTGTGCAAAAAAATACTGAAACAGTGAATCGTTGGGCATTCAAAAGTCTCGGGGTCAACCTGTAAATGTGATCCTGCATTTTAGAGTCATCCTGAAATCTCACTCCAAAGCCCCAAATCCCTTACGGTTTAGTGAGTATTGCATGCTTACTCTCACCAAAAGTATTCCAAAGGTTAGTTGAGTGACTTACATTGGCTCTGCGTGCGTAAAGGCACATTCAGGAGCAGCTGAGACCCCCGGAATGAAGGATGTCCTCGTACGGCCAAGGAGTTTCCTAGAAAGCAAGTAAAAACATCACCATCTTCACTGTAAAACACAGGTGGGCAAACACAGAGTATTACATGTCGTGTTACAAGAACCACATCACTTTCCTTCAACTTTAACTCAGTCAGTACCAGCCAATTCTGGACCAAGTCTGAAAAGACGTTTAAAAACGTCTTTGGGAGTGAATGAGTTCAGGACTGCGCCGTTGTGAATTACTGCTTTATGTTATCAAGAGTACGTACTGTAATATTTTGTACATTCATTTCTTTCTCGAAAATTGTTTCACAGAAATGTATCTATCAAGAGTTTTTTTTCCCTTGAAATATATAATAATTGAAATTTAAGTGCTCTAAATGCGATAAAAACATTGCCTGGACGGCATTTAACCATTTTAGGTACATCGGTTACGACGGTGGACAGCTTATCAGGTTATCAGGTAACGGGTTATTATTATTTGGGCACGAAAGGGTTAAATAGGGGATTTCACTTATTGCGGGCCCGAGGGTTATTGTACTTTAGTTTCTGCAACGCCAAAATGTAATTCTAATGGCTTCGTAATTACCTGGGCGGCATAAAAATGTTTAAAGGTGCATATCATAATTGTGTTATCATTCAAACCCTGCTGAGATGAAATCATATTATTAGAAGCCTGGCAGATATGAAATTACAGGGAGGCTATTTGATAAAGGTGTAACGCGATTATGATAGCCAGTGCCAAACCAGTCTAGAGTTGTATGTCAAATGTCCGTCGGATTCTTTGCGGCATGGGTGTGGATGTGTGTGTTGCGGGTGTGTGTGCGTGTGTGTGTGTTCAGCGGATCTCTCTACACTGTTGACATTCCCCCTGACAGCTCTGAACTTTTCACGATGCCACGACTGTCAGAGCGACGGCGGAGGAGGAGGGGAGAGGTGAGGTGAGAACGGCGAGTGGAGGGGGGGAGCCACGTCACGAGGTTGGGTGAGAACATTGAGATGTGTCCATCTTTCTATCCGTTTGTCCACCAGCATGCTTGAGAGCAGCAAGGTTCCTGCCTGTTCTCCAATCATCACCTGCTCTTGTGTGATGAAGGTCAAGCCTGTCTGAGGGGAGGACGAAAGGTTCTCAACAGACAGCTGGGTCAGTGTGTGGACACAAGCGCCGCCCGAGACATTAACACGGGTCATTGTAGTCAATTACAGAGTGTTCCACACCACTATGACAGCCAGACTGGTTTGGATAGCTTCTTGCACAAATTAGGTTCTTGGTACTGATAAAAAAATGTCTGCCATGAAGGGCCAATTTATTAGTGGAATTTAAGAACTGATATCTAGCCATGATCAGTGTTTTTTCTTTTTGATAATAATCAAAATTACTGGGAATAGAATTAAGATTAAGCATGTCAAATTGTACCAAAAGTATGATGGAATCAGATATATTTTGTCGTGCTTGTGTTGTAACCTCAGGAATTCATGGAAATTTTAACGACCTGTCTGCCACCCACACAAAATGGCTCCGTGACCCACTTTAGGGTCCCGACCCACCAGTTGAGAATTGCTGCTTGAGGTATGTGACATTTAAGTCAAAGGGTATTTTTTATTTTTTTCCCCGTGACTTCTACATTTGAAAAACCACATGAGATGACTGTTGTTGTCAACTACGGCAAATTTGAAGGATTCAAAATTATTACAAAGCATCTAAAGCGAGGCTTCAACTTTGTGAAAAATAAAATAGTTCTCCATCAAATACAACTACAAAAAAAGAGATACTTGATCGAGCTTCTTTCTTATGCCTGAACATTTGATCGATAATTATATCCATTGGATATATGGCTGGACTATATTCCACTGGGTCGTTGGGGGGATTTTTCCACGCCTTGACAACGAGGCGCTCTAAAGCAGGATAGATAGTGATCTCAATGCATGTCACAATTGCACTGCATCATCGGAGGTGCTCAAGATCTCATATAGTTGGGCTCAAACGTATCATCATGATGCAGTACAGGGGTACCCTGCTGCAACCTGCAACCACGATTACAAACATTTGATGCAGCTCTTACCATAAATGTTTTGGAGCACCGACGTCTTAGTAGTGGCTGGAGGTTTTGCAAGAGGAGCTCGCATCTCTGTCCGTCTCTTCTCGGTGTGGGCGTGGTTTAAAACACTTAACTCCACCCCCTTGCAGGCCTTGCCTTCACTGTGTCTGCGTGTGAGGAGCCTACGGACAACACGTGTGTTAGATCAAACAACAAAGTCTTTTTTTATGGGCAGCACATTCACTCTAGAGATTAAATGAAAACAAAGGGGCTGTGGGATGGCCTTGTGCTGGTAGCTATTAAGGGCATTTGTGGGCCAAGTACGACTTGCAGCTCGTTCCTCTGCTTAGAATAAAATACAAAGTCTTTACTGTCATTGTATGATGCAGATACCACAAAAGTGTGCACACAATTATTTGCTAATTCTTTTCGACCTACTTTTTATATTCAGTTGAATACACTACAGAGACACCATATTTAATGTCCAAACTGATAACATTTATTGTTTTTTTGTTTTTTTTCACAAATATTTACTCATTTTGAATTTGATGCCTGTAAAATGTTTCAAAAAAGCTGAAACATTGGCATGCTCACCATTGTTTTACTACCCCTTTCCTTCGAACAAAACTCAAAGCATTTGGAAACTGAGAATACTCAATGTTGAAGCTTCGTAGGTGGACTTCTTGACCTTCTCAGCTTGATGTACAATTTTAGTTGCTCAACAGTCCAGGGTCTCTGTTGTCGTATTTTGCACTTTATAATGTATTTTCAATGGGAGGCATGTCTGGACTGCTGGCAGGCATGTGACTATGTCTGTATTGTAGTGTGTTCCTAGGAGCATCATGTTGGTAACATCTGCCTTTGAGCAACATGGCTGAACAATGAAAGATTAAAACAAGAGCTTGCGCATCCTTTGCCGGCGACTCCTACAAATTCGCCACTCACCTTCTCCATGCTCGCTGGATGACCCTGGCTGCTTCGTGCTTCCTCCTGCGCTGCTCTCTGTCGTGTCCTTTTAGGGCGCTTGTGACGGCGTGATGTTTTCTCAAAGGGCTTCTCGTGTGCAAAGAGGCTCCGGCAAAGTGAGCGGGATCTTTGGCCTTGTGGTGTCTGTTCTTCAGGGAATCAGTCTTTCTCGGCGGTACGGCGGCTGTTTGGTCTGCATCCAAGACGACCGTGTAAGGGGTGCTTGTGAACGAGGTGGGTCTTTGCTCCTTGACTTTACGTGTGAAGGAGTGCCTGGATGATCCTGAGCTGCTCGGAGAAAGCGGGTCCTTCAGCCTGGTAGTCGTGTCGCATGTCATGTGACTTTCAGGGCTTGGAGTGTCAGGTGGATTAGCAGCTTTGCTCCTTGTGGATCTGCTCCGATGGCCTAGTGGAGATAATACTGGACGTTGATTTAATATCCAACCAGTCCTCATTAGGTTTGCGGGAGATGAAGGTTATCACGGCTGACTTTTGGGTGAAATACAACCAGGGCTGATTGCCAGTCAGGCGCAGGGCAAATATAGAAAGAAACCATCATTCACAATCACATTCAGATTGACACCATTTCCATTGCTTTTTAAAAAACTGACAATTATTCCAAACCCTCTTCACGTCTTGGACAATTTTAAGGTAACACATTCTTTTGCACCATTCTAAGAGATTGTGGTCGCTTGGAGTATAATAGTGACTATCAACTGCCCCACATTTTCCTATTTTAGTTTTGACCTACCTTTTTGTAGACGTTAAGAACAATAAAGAAATTAAATTGGCAAAAAAACAAACCAAAAAAACCTGCATTTGAAATGATATCACTGGCATCTTTGCACCTCAAAAATCAGCACTCTTCAGGAGATCTCAGAAAAAAATGAATCGCTCCTTATATTACACAAGCACACGCACGCGCGCACACACACACACACACACACACACACACACACACACACACACACACACACACACACACACACACACACACATTTATTATTCTTTGAGGCATTTTAATTCAGAGGCTCTTCAGCGAATGTGGAGCTAATTATGAACAGCTCCAAATAGTCTATTGTTGGCATAAAACCTTCGGCCTTCTGCTAGATAAAACAAAAAAAACAATGTCTCAAAGTCTACCAGAACCTCTGAATTTTATTTGGAGTATCTAGGTACTGTATGTTAATGTCATCGGTGAATTCATTTGCAAATACCACAAAGGAAGGTCTGCGCTGAGAATTATTTCACTCTACCTTTGTGTCTCTCCTCTCTGTCCCTCCGTTCAGGTTTAGTTGCTTTCTTTGTCTCCACCACTGAGTCTTTCACGGATAAATCTGCCACTCGGTTCACCAAGGAGAGTTTCTCCTGCTCACTCGTCTCTGAAGACAATTTTCGTTCCTCGGCCGCGGCCACCGAGATTTGCTGCACGGCTTCTCTCCGCCGCAGTTCCTCCTCTCGCTTCCTGGACACAAGCAAAAGAAGTGGCAGCAAATGTTGTCAATATTTTGGGCTTAGACTGATGTGATGTGCATTGTTTTCAGAATTGAAATAATTTAAATGTGCATCTCAGTTAAACTATGATTCCCAGCCACTGTGTGCTATGGGAAATCTGATAAAAAAATTAGCCATTAAAAAAAACAAACAAACAAAAAAAAATTTTTGTTTTGTAATGACTGTAAAACTCTGTGATTCTGTATTTTATATATGTATGACTATTCTATAAGGATGTGAAGCACTTTGGGAAAGGTGCATATTATTTTGACTTATTCATTGGTCCATAAATCATGACTTATTTACAACAAATCAAGTATCTTTGTTCAGCTACAGCCGCGTTTATATGGAGACTGCTTTGTAATTCTGATCGAAATCATTCCGATTGAAGATCTTTGGTCAACTCTTAATGTGACGTGATGTAGCCGGATGCCAGAATTTACATGCTCTACTACATTTAATCTGAACAGCCGATTTACAGGCATGTGACATGCGCAATCTGAGTTTTCTAATGTAAAATATGTGCCTTGGCTCAACAAAGGTTGGAAAACACTCTCGTCGAGAACAAATGTGAGACGTGTGAGTAAATGACAAAGGATCAAAAGGAGCACGTCAGGAGAAAGACGTATGCGTGTGCAAGGTTGACAGAGAGAAAGACGGATACGAGGAAAGTGCGGCAACAAAGAATGTCAAAGGTGTCCCTGTGACGACCAAACAAACAGGGCTAGACAAGGACAGATGTATAGCTGAGTGTTGTTTGTTCGTCTCTCACTTGGCGGCATCCTTGCGTAGCTGCTCGTGCCTCATGAGGAGCTGCTTCCTCTCCCTGAAAGCCTTGCGGACCGTGTAGCCCTTGTAGATGGCCTGAATGGAGGCGGCGGCTATGTCCTGGATGGCGGCGATGGACAGAGCGCCGTGCTCCAGCATGAACTGGGTCACCTCGCTGTGGCCCCCCAGCAACGCATAGTCCAGCGGTGTGTACCTGCGTGTGAACGCCATTGTCACTCACACAGCCTTTTGAAGGTCTCCTTACCTTTGTGACCGCTACAGCTCATCGTCATAATCATCATCAAAGCCTCACCTCTCCTCTGTGTGCTCCATGTGGTTAGGAAAGGCGCTGTAGCCCAGCAGCAACTTCACGGCATCCAGGTAGCCATTGTTGCACGACCAGTGGAGAGCAGTCCGCCCCTGTGGAAACAAGGTCATACCCGTGGTAATTTTTAAATGAAAAAAAAAAAAAAAAATGGAGGGGTGCCAACCACTTACTGCAAGTAGGCTGTATCCAGTCCGTGTCTGACAACTACTCTGCTAACTTTAAAACCACCAAGGCACATGTCTTACATGATTAGAAAAATGTCTCAAAAGCAAATAGAATGGAAGAAATGTGTGAATAATTGACGCAGCCCCTAAGAAAGGTTTCTAATTGCATATTGATGCCACAAAATGGCATAAAGCACTACATGAAGCTCCTCAACTCGCTTTAACATAGAGTGCATATAAAAATTCGACACAGCCCCGTTCAAATGTCAGGTTTTCATGGTATATAAAAAATGACCAAGAGAAATCATTTCCCATATTTTTCCACCATGAACGAGAGCTACAATTTGGACAACTCTTTACAAGAGCAGGAGTTAAAAATAAACGGACATTAGGTGGCTGCATAAGTGTGGACGCCCTCATAGAACTGGGAACGGGTTTGTATTCGGAAATCAATCAATTTAAACTTGTGATAAATGGGAGTCAGGAGACACCTACACCATTTTAAATGTCCCGGATTCACCCCAAATTAAGTTCTGTTGGTTTTGTAGGCTTTCTAGCAGAAGCCTGAAGGTTTTGTGCTAATAGTGCCTGCCCAAAGCATCACCATGCTTCACTGTAGGTATGGTGATGAGCATATATTTGAGCCAAACAAAGCTTTTGGAATTTCTGCAAAAAAAAAGTCCAACCTTAGTTTCAATGGACCATAAAATTTCCCAAACACATGTGGGAGAACAATAATACACTGGATAATGATATGCATGCATGGCAGCGGATTTCTACCTCCTTGTCCTGTATGTTTGGATCAGCGTGTTTCTCCATCAGGACAGCCATGCATGTGATGTAGCCACCATAGGCAGCACACTGCAGTGGAGTCCGTTTTGCTTGGTCCTGCCAGACAGATTGGAATCATAAAGCTCTTTGAAAGCTGTAATAATGAGTTGATTTTAAATGATTATTAAAAGGCATTGTATATCAAGTTAATGTTAAAATAATGTTACATACTAACAGTTCTCCATTAGGTACACTTGCACATGAGTAATAAGATCCAGTACAAGAGCATCACCGCCTCTTTCTTAACAACAAAAATAGTGGTCACAGGATCAAAGTAAGAAGACTACCACACTATTTTGGTGATCTTATTTTGAAACTACATGAGATGAGACATATGTTATAAATAGCTCTCAGTATGATGCAGCGCAGTAAACCACAACCACAATAATAAACATAGGGTGCAAGTGCCAATAAAAAGCATAATTATGTTTGTAAAGGCCAGCCTTTTGTTTCAGATTGGATCTCATTACCTAGTGAACTTGCAATGAATGCAGCACGTGTACAATGTATACTCTCACCACAGGTTGCCGGAGGACTGTAGGGAGTGGTAAGACAATATTAGATATTTTTTTGCCTTCTAAGCTAGCTAAAACCAAAATTAATTTGAAATATAGTCCTAATTTAAAATGCTTCTTGTAAGATAAAACCAGACACTTGGAATTTGTGGTCCATCCTTTCGGTGCTCTATCACCACGAGGTGCTTCAGAGCTCACCTGTACATTGGGGCTGATTCCGTTCTCCATTAAGATCTGGCACACCTCAGCGTTCCCTCCCAAAGCTGCCCAGTGGAGTGCAGTGTGACCGTCCACGTCCACGAGGTCCACACGTGCGGCGCCTTTATTCAACACAGTAAGCAGCTACATATCTGACACACAACTACAGAGAACATAAATAGCATTGGAACATGGCAAAAAGATTTCTGGAAGAGATTGCTGCTACCTTTGACACCCACCTTTGATGAGCGTGAGGATGACGTCCCTCTGTCCCATCTCGCAGGCACGAAACAGCGGCGTGTGCTTCATTACATCCAGAGAGTCCACCATGGCTCCCCTCTCCAACAGCAATTTGACAGTGCTAACATGGCCTGACAGGGAGGCTGCATGTAGCGCTGTTTGGACAATAGCGACACAAACATGAAGGCAACTAGCCAAATGGACGCCACGCGCCTCACTAAAATGCGGCTGAAGTTCACCCGCGACAAGCCACAACATTATGACTACTTGCTTAATAAAACGGTAATGGCAAGAGCCTGTATCCAATTTTCTGCCTTTAGAATGAAACCATTGCTGAGTTTTGACAGTCATGAATTAACAATTGGTTTATTATTGTGGTTGTATTTTGAAGCGGTGTACAACTGTACATGGCCCGTCTGGGATGCAAGAACTCAATTGCTGCTATTCTCTGGGCTGTGCAAAACAAAACAAAAAAAAAAAAAGCTGAGAAGTGATCAATTTATCAGATACAAGCAATACAAGGAGATCATTACCCCCCGCCCCCACCCATCAACAAATAAACATTCTCATCCAAAATTCAAGGAAGTGACGTGGTTACTAGGCAGCCATGCTGTCCTTCACGCTGTCTAGCTTGCAAATGCATACATAAACAATGATAGCCAGACTGGACATTGATTATACATCCAAGAGGCCCCTTCAGCATCAGGGCTGTGGTGACGTGTCACGAGTGTGTTCATGTGTGAGCATGCAAGAGGACAGTGCTGGCAGTCTTCATGGCAAACTCTCACTAATTTTCCTGACACTATAAGCTTCCCTCTCTGGCTCATCTTCTGGGAAATCGCCTTATGACCGAGCCTCGCTTTTGAGGAGCCGCACACGGCACATTTGACAAGCAAAGCCAACATCGTGGATGCTGCGTAAAGTATGTTAAAAATCATTTACGGCATATAAATATCCTATTCCAATGTAGTTGGGACGTTGCGTTAAATATAAATAAAAAACGAATGCAATGATTTGCAAATCGTGTTCAACCTAAATTTAATTGGATACACTGTATTCTGTTTTTATTTATGTTTAACACAACGTCCCATCTTCATTGGAATTGGGATTATACAAGCACACATCGCCCGGAGCTCATCTCAGTTTAGTGGCACTCACCGGTGCCGCCATACTTGTCGGCCATGTTGATGTCAATGTGAGGCGTGTGGGCTAACATGGTGCGGATGACATCATCGCTGCCCTTGCCCGCGGCCCACATGAAGGCCGTCCTGCCCTCCAGGTCAGGCTCATCTTTCACTGATGGGTGAGAAAGAAACACACCTACTGTCTCCTATTCACACACACACACACACACACACACACACACACACACACACACACACACACACACACACACACACACAAAGAAAAAAAAAGAAAAAAGGTTGTGCAGTGATTTATCTGAAAGAGTTTTCAATGAGAAAATCACAACTTCATGGATTGGATGGCGATGATGAAAGATGATTTCCACTGAGGAGGGGGAAAGCCTCAACTAAACTCAAATGGCAAAAAGAGATCACAAATTCCACTAAAACAAGTGACCAAGTGACTGAGTGCCACATTGGCACAATAGAGATCAGCATTCTGGGATAGCAGGATTAGTCCGTGAATTGAAACCTGAATTCTTCTTATCAGCATTTTTACCCAGATTGGCACTTAAACGTAGTTTGGATTTTCATGGATTTTCCTGCTTTGCACATGTGCTACCTTTCTACGCAATGTCAGAGAAATGTGTTAAGTGTGCACTTGAAACGCTGAAAAGAAACACTCGAAAACAAAGGTCATAAGTTCATCAAAACTGAAGAAACCAAACACATTGAATGTGAAGGTATTCTGAATAAAACTCAACCCTGTGTTTCAAGGGGTCAGTTTTCAGATCCACGCCTGTTACAAAATCGCGCATTTCTCAAGTTGCTGAAAAAAACACTTGAGCTCTCGAAAACAAACACACAGTCTTACACACAATCTTACACCCAATCTCCCCCCCCCCCCACACACACAAAGACTGGGGATGTTGGCCCATTCTCAAAATAGCAAGAAAATGCGTTTTTTTGAGGGTCGATTTTGGTCTGTTTTGTCAGGCAGGAGCCTGTCACAGAAAACTGAATTTTTCAAGTGGCTAAAAAAAAAAATAAATAAATAACACTTGTTGGTCCCCAAGCACTGGGAAACTTCCTGACTACAGATAACTTGATGTTAAATGCTTTTTAATCTGCTTTAGAACTTTCTGTACTCAGGTTTTACTACATGTTAGCATCAAACCTATTTCAGTTGGGTTCAGCAGATGAACGCCTGCCAACACAGGTCAATTGAATTTAGAGCAAATAAATTTGATCAATACCAAAATAAAGCCATCCAGACAAGTCCTATAATCCCTTTTAATTTCAAAAATATATTTTATTCATTAATTGGTTTGTTGTGCGCGCGTGACTCACAGCATTGTTGCTCTGTGCTCCGTAATGCAAAGGTGTCGCTCCCTGGCTGTCGGAGGGAATAGTGCCTGATGTGTTCCTCTCCAGCAGCAGGTGGACAATTCTGGCATGGCCTGTAAACACGTTAAAATCCAGAAAATGCAGAGTTCACGTACCTCGTGCTCAACTTCCACTTCACACTATTTATTTTACTACTACTAGCAGGCAACCTCAATGTGTCTTATGGTTTATAATTGAATTCCCCACAAAATGTATGCATGGCATGATATTTGAAAGGAGGGGATTGAGACATCAGCGGGAAAATGTGACATAAACAAACCAACTGAAAGTTATTTAACAAATAACATTTTTGTTATGCAACTGGTTCAGGGGGTTGTGTGTGTTTTTGCACTGATCGGCTAGGATCGACTCCAGCTCCCTCCCCCTCCCAGGAGTAGTCGAGAAAATGAATGGATGGATGACGTTACATTAACTGTCATCATTTTTTTGCGATCGACATTTTCTTGACATCAAGCAAATGCTGCTATTTTATCTGGTGTTCACTTTCATACATTTTATACAGCAGCCTCGCTTTAGTTGATGGCTTTAATTTCTATGTCATACATAATCACTGCCAATCACTGTGACCTACAAACCCCAAAAGCAAAAACTGTGGCTCGTAAGTGACGTATTGCTTTTTAGATGGTACGTCACACCAAATTAAACCGGCAAGCCACAATGATGGAAGGACAAGAAAAGGCAGTCGAAGCCGTAAGGAGTCGTGTGGGATGTGCGTCAGTTTACCGAGCAGGGCGGCCCAATGCAGCGGTGTCCTGAAGAGATTATCGTAAGCGGTCACATTGCAGCCCTGGTAGGACGTCAGCACCTCCACCACTGCCTCGTTACCGTCGGCGACAGCAAAGTGCAAGGGTGTCCGACCTTCGTAGTCCTGCCAGTTCAGCAGGGACTCCGTGGGAGCCGCTTCCTGCACACGCGCAGGACATCGATGAGTGGATTTAAACGAACCAATTTATTCATAGTGGGCAAGCAGGCTTGATTAATACGAGGCTTTGAAAGATATAGTTTCAACCTTTTTTTTCCTTGGCGTGTTCCATAACACTTTCACAAAAGGAACTGAAAATTCTTCCAATTTACCTCGATTTCAGAGCAAGCCACCAGAAACTTTGGAATGGGTTTTCCAAAGCACTGTCCTCAGGCCACTTGAACTTTGCGGACTACGCTTAAAAGCCCCATGCTGGCTGTACCGCAAAAGTCAGCGGACAGGATAGACACCCAGTACGTTCCAGAAGTTTGTTAATGGCTACAACAGGCCTGGAAATCAAGGACGCCCAAAGCAGTGGTTTTTATCTGATGGTTGAAGACACGAGAGCGGGTCGAGGACTTATTATGAAGAGGTAGTAAAAAGTTGCCTCACTATACGACTATACAGACGGATAATATGGTTAAGAATGGTATGCAATTAACTGCAGTCGTTTCTCGCGGGGAATAATATAGAGAAGAGATTGTCATGCGGTTCGAGCAGGCATGCTCAGTTAGTGGTGCATTTCTGGCCGACAAATGTTATCCATACTAATATGTGCTATAAGTATGACTTCACTCCGTCAGCCTAGGTTAGTGATGGAGTACGACACATTCAGACTCGAGAACCCATTTGGAGATGAACTCCATCCTACAATGTGGACCCCGTATACCTTAAAATCTTGAACATGCATCCAATCTTAGACGCTCTCTTTCCATTTAGAAAATAACATTATTTTGACTGAAATTTATTACCTGGGGTGCAATGAGACATTTACTTGTATGCCTCTCTACTTGACCGACTTCACACAAGGTAAAGAACTTTGCTAACTATTCGCAGTACCAAGAAATAGGGAAAATGTTATAGCCGTATTTTGGGCAATTGTGAGATTTATTTGTACCGTATTTAGTCCTGTACATGCATGATCATCTTGAATATCTAAATCATGTACTGTACTCTGAAAGGCACTATAATCAGGTAAGCAGCTATGTTTCAACAATACGTTTTGTTTATTGTTCCTAAAAATAAGTGGGTTCATTGTCTCTTGATGAAAGTGAGTCGCGACTTAGCGACACCAGGAAAATGTGGGTCCTAACGGACATATCAACAAATATTGAAGGGAGCATATTTATAGGCGCCCCAGTGGGCGAGTGGTTAGTGTGTCGACCTCACAGTGCAGAGGTACAATTCCAGCTCTGGCCTCCCTCTGTGGAGTTTGCATGTTATCCCGTGCCTACGTGGTTTTTCTCGGGGTACTCCAGGTTCCTCTCACATTCCAAAAACATGCATGGCAAGTTAATGGAACACTCTAAATTGTCCCGAGGTGTGAGTGTAGGCACGGATGGTTGTTCGTCTCTGTTTGCCCTGCGATTGGCTGGCAACTGGTTCAGGGTGTCCCCCGTCTACTGCCCGAAGGCGGCTGAGATAGACTGCAGCACGCCCCGCGACCCTTATGAGGATTAAGCGGTTCAGAAAATGGTGGTGGTGGTGGTGGCGGCGAATTTGTATAGCGGTGCCTAATGCGCATGCAATTTTGACCATGTCTTTGGCGGAAGAAAAAAAATACACAATACGTCTATCCCGGTGCACTTAATTCTGCGTTCCTGATTGAAACTTTGTAAGACAGCGCAACTTTATGCGTGATGTGTACCAGGATACAGCGGACAGTTTGCGTGGCCCTGGCTTCCTGGCTGTGCGCGGCCCAGTGCAGGGGGATCTTGCCCTCGCTGTCAGGGATGCCGATGTTGGAGTCGTGCTTGATGAGGAGGCGAACGTGCTCCGGCCGGTTATAAAACGCTGACCAATGCAAGGCAGTTTGCTGTGAAGACAGACAAGCAGGACAGATGAAAAAGAAGAAATAGCTATGACGACTTATAGAACAGTGAGGGACATTGTTGGCTTGCGGCTTTGAGCTTTTTCTATTACGCAAATGAAAGTGCTGAGAAGCAACCCAGATAACGTCGAAATGAAAGCTACTGGCTGTCATCTGACATGATGATGCAAATTGGATCATTACAAAACTAACTACTGATGTCACACCTCGGCATCGTAACACAAGGGAGTCTCTGTCCTTGTGGTCACAGATACTTAGGCTTCACTGCGACACGAGCGCGGATGACCTCAAACTCCTCAATGAATTCCATTCGTTATGCGGCTGGATGTTTTTTTCGGACAGACCATGGAAGGGCTCTCTCAGTGTGTGTTTTAAGTATACACAAATTAGGAAAATGGCCTGAAAGTCATAACATCTGAGCGAGATTTCCTGGAAAAAAATGACCTCAAGTTGCAAGGTTAAAACACCATTTTTCATGACAGATCAGCATTACAAGATATCGACTACGGGTTTTAGTTTTTGGGTGCCTTCAAGTGTATGTTTTTGTGACGCAGCGACAAAGCGAATAAGTGGAAAAATGTGATGACAGCCGATAGTCCTGTTAAATAATTGTGACCGTGAGTGCGTGACTGTTTATTGAAACCTCGTAAGTCATGACTTCTGTCTCTTTATTGGTTGTTTTACCTCAGGCGAAAGACTGATTTTTCACAGATGAAATTTATCATGTACGAGTGTCAAGTGCTGATGACTGTTTTAATAAATCCAAAAAAGTACAAACTCCCCTTATAATGATCATCACTTGTACCGGAACTTTATCTTTTGAAATGGATTTTGGTGTACACTGCCGTTGAAAAGTTGAGATATGCATGCTTTAAATGTTCTTAATGACATTTACAGGTTTTTCTCACATTATTTCTTTCCTTCCCTAAAATTTGCTTTTTATTCTTGCAACTTTTTGCCTTTGTTCCTCTGTTCCTACACTCCCCTCCCTCCCCTCTGACCTCTTTCCAGACTTCGTTCCCCTCAGACCTGCTTTTTTCCCTTGTATTTTTTTCTATCCTGACCTCCTTTCTTCCTTCCCCCCCTCAGATCTGCTTTTTATTCATGCATCTCTACATACCTTCGCTGAAACCCACTTTCTTCAGTCACACCTTTAATTCAAGCATGCTAACATCGGGCCCAACATCAATAGTGAGGACATAACTGGAGCAGTGTTTAAGTCTTCACGATATTGCTAAGATACGGCCCATTCTATACATGAGTGACACAGAGACCGCAAGTCATGCTAGTCATGCAGTATTCTAGAATGTTCTACCTGTAGAAATTAGAGCTGCTACTTCTGTAGAAATGTTTAAAATCTCATCTCATGACTTATTTCTACACTCTGTCATTTGGTTTGTACCACACCTAGTATGTAACTATTCGTCCCGCCTCACCCGCTGGGCACCTGAATTTGGCACTGTTTTACTGCCACTTCTCCTCCCTCCTTCACCACCCCTGAGTGAAATGAAGCGGTTGCTGTAAGGATTCAGTTTCGACCAACTGGGACTTGAATAGGACCACTTCTTGGAGGATTCTGCATCGAGAAAGCTGGACAGTTTCTGAGGAGAACCACTTCTCTGGAGGTGTTTGTCGACGTGCGGCGGTTCATTTCATTAAACGGACTCGAATGCCGTTAATGCTAACACTGCACAACATATCATGTGATAAATGCTGACAACTCTGCATCCATTGGAGCCTGGTCATCCTGGAAGGGGGTCGCTTAATCCTTTCTCAAGGGTACTTCCCTTTTGTTTTTCTCCGCGACTGTACCTTGTTCTTGTCCTGTGTGTCGACCTCCCCTGGGCCAATGTGTTTAAGCAGCAACGCGAGGGCTTTTGGAGAAGGGTGTCGTGTGGCAAGGTGCAGCGGGGTCATCTCTTCCAAATCTTTCTGGAGCCAGTTGGCGTGTCGAGACAGCAGCAGCTTGAGGAAACGAACATTTCCCTGCAATGCAAAAATAAATAAATAACCCAACAACTCTGATTTAGGCAATATTCTCCGCATGATATCACAGTGTTCTCATTAGCAATAGTGGTGAACCAACACTGGTGACATGCACACCCAGGCCCAATCACAAGCTTGTGGTCTTTTCGTGGTGTCTTGTTCAATTCAGGGGTCATCCATCTTCGTTCTCTTTCATTTTGGTGTGTGTGATGAGCTGTTAGACAGTTAACACCAAACCTGTGCCCCCCCCTGTCATCATTACCATCATCATCCTCTGTTTGGATGATATTCAGCCAGGGCCTCCTGAGTCATGTACTGCCTAACAGCTCTCACGGGACCCAGGGTCGTGTGTCTGGTGGCCCTCCGTGTGTGAGTGTGTTTTGTATATTTACCATGGTGCCGGCTCAAAGCCGCAGCCTGACGGATCTATCTTGTGTGTGAGCATGCATCTCGACCAAGAGAGTGTGTGTCTATGCACTCCTGTCCTCCCTATTCTCAGTCCAATTAGATCCGTAATCCCTGGCCTCTCTGCCTGTCTCGGCCAATTATTGATCCTGTGTCAAAGAGACAGGGCTCCCCATCACGATCATGCCCGCATGCACACGCACACACCAATACTATGTACTATGTCTTCTGCTACACAAAATCATGATGACATAGCACAGAAAATATTACCAAATCAAGATAATACTGTGTGGAAATATGGCGTCTAACAAACGTTCGCAGAATTCTCTATTCTGTCGCACCGTACACATGGGAACAACTAAAAAGTAAACATCTAAACTTCATTTTGTAATATTTCTAATACTTAGTCTATATATATATATTTGAAATTACGATTCTCATTCAAAATACCTTTCTGGCTTAACTTTTTTTTTTTTTTACATCAGAAAAGTATTCTTATTAAAGGTGTGAAAGAGTGGTTGAATCATTCCGAAAAAAATCATGATATTGAAAATTACGAATTACTTTTCTTTCACTGTATTTAATTAGAACCTTTTTTTGAGAGTATTATCATTTCAGTTTATTCACTGGTTGGTTTCTTCTGCCTTGTCGTGAGGCTTGCGACATTTATTTCAACTTAATTGACCAAAGATGCTTCATAGCCTTATTATCATTATTATTATTATTACTGTAAAAGTATGCTTTCAGGGTTGTTCCCATATTTAAACAATTTGTCTCCCGGTACCCCTGCGGTCGTACATAGAGTCACTATGTGACAGCAGTGGCCTCCCTCTTTCCACCGAACCCCAACCTGGTCGATTGAGTTGCTCACTTGCAAAACTATTCTTGTGTTTTTTTTTATTACGAATTGTATTGGATAAACTTTGTCAGTTGCACTCAATACAAGCTCAAAACATGCCAATTTGCCTCACGTGCAAAAAAAACAGCTTTTGACCAACCTTGCCCCCTTTGGCAAGGAGGTGAATCATCCTTAACCTGCCGACTGCAACGCCAATGTGTGTGTGTGTGTGTGTGTGTGTGTGTGTGTGTGTGTGTGTGTGTGTGTGTGTGTGTGCGCGTGCGCGCGCGTGGGGGGTCAGCGTAGGCCGTGCCTTCTGTGCGGCGAGGTGCAGAGCCGTGCGCTGGCTGTGGTCGGTCTTGTTGACTGAGGCTCCGGCCTTTAGCAGAATTTCTGCACAGTCTAGGCGATCAGCCAGCACGCAGTACATGAGAGGGGTGCGGCCAAATTGATCCTCACGGTCCCGGAGGACTGGCTCTGCTATACGCACAAATACACACATACACAAATGAATGGATTATGGTACCCGGGGGCCTTGAATGCACTTATTCGCTAATATACTACCTCACTGTGACTCACTTGTGTGCATATTTGTTTTCATATTTGAACACAAGGTATTATTGACCACTTTATCGAAGCGAGGATCTACTGTGTGTGTGTGGTTTTTTTTTTTTTTTTTTGCTGTGCAAAAAGCCTCATTCTGTAGCGGCCGCATGGGTGTTTTGCTTAGGCTTACCTTGCCCTCTGACCTTTCTGCACAAAATTTCCTTGCAGAAATCAATAAAGCAGTGCGGTATTACATACTAATGCGAAAACACTCTTGTCTGTGTAGGTAGGGAAAAACTCCTTTTTGAGTAAGTTTTTGTCCAATCGCTGGAATTTTTTTTTTTTTAAGACCTGGACTTTTGGCCTCCTCACAGTTATGCACCTCGAGCGAGTTGTATGTTGTTTACCTGTGATGAGTTTGTGCAGCGTGTTCCTGTCGCCATTGACAGCGGCGGCATGAACCTGCGAGCCCAGAGGGGCGGCGCCCGGACCAGAGGGCGCTGAGGCCTGTAACACAAACACACATAAGGTCACAAATCAACCCGCGGCCATTTCCTGTGCATATACAATAGCTTGCTTATCAACCGTTGACCAATGTAGAGGAGATTTTCTCAGGCATTATGTAGCTCTAAGCATGAAACCAGGTTTTAATTTCACCATCATGATCATCAGTACCGACAAAATAAACAAAAAGCATTGATCTTGTTGTTAACTACCAACTACGAAAAGCTAAAAACAACTCAGTCATGCAGAGGTGATTCCTCATGCATCACAGAAATTCTTCCAAAAAATCTTCCTTATAATCTTTTAGGGTGAAGGAGAGACATCTTACTTTTTGGGCTTTCGAGGTTAGCCCCTCATTTTATATGTTTGCATCATGCTCTGTGGACAGACAATGAGTTGTCGGTTTCTTGTTTTGGTTTTCCAATATTGTTCAGCCCTAATGTATAAATATAAGCATTTGATTCGCACATACCGTAAGTGGCCATGAGATTTGTCGCATTTACCAAGCTACGTCTCTGTATAAAAGAACAGCAGAAATTTTCACTCGTCTCGTATGCCTCCTTCAGTATGGTAGCACACAGTCAGCCTCACCTTTTATATGCAGTTTCCTGTGATCAGCAAAACTAAATATAAATACTGGGAGATTTTCAAACTATATGCTCATCAATTCCCTCTTCATGCCCCCTTCAAATTTTTGATATCCCTTTGTCAATGACAACAACTTTGATGAAAACAATCATTATTGGATTAAAAAAAAAAAAAAAAAAGGTAAAGCACAGACCCGTACTCTGAAAATGAAAAGAATTTCATTTATTAATTGTTTCTTTATTCTTTCACCTGACTGCTCTGACTACACACCCCTGGTTTAAATGAATAATAGCAAATAAAGGGTCTTCCCAACGTGTAAAAATGATCATTCAATCCACATGAACACCTGACATTCCATTGGCTGTCAAGCCCAAAATGAAGACATTTTGATAACGTATTGGCAAGCTGATGTCTTCTGACAGAGTCCACATGCGTGCGTGTGTGTGTGTGTGTGTGTGTGTGTGTGCGCGTGTGTGTGTGTGTGTGTGTGTGTGCTCCCGCTGAGGGGGTTAAATCTCTTCCTGGCCCCACTTAACAAGAGCCCAGTGAAAGCTGGGTAATCTGTAGACAGGAAGCATCTGGGGAGTGAGGGGTGGGTGGGTGTATGGAGGCGTGATCCCTGTGTGAGCGTGTAAGAGGGGGGTCTCTCCTCATGTCTTATTAATGTCTCATTAATACTGCAACATGCTCCACTCTGTGTGTGTGCGTGTGTGTGTGGAGAGATATGGGACAAAGCCTGCGGGGTACAACGCAGAAATCAATCATTGCCCCTAAACACATAAAAGCCAGCGGCACTAACCAGTTCCATCCCATGGCAAAATCTGAGAGACATTTTCATCATCTAAATACTTTCGGAACTTTTGCTTCTTTAACTTATTGGCAGAAAAATGCGTTGTTCTGAAGAAAGCACAGAAGAAGAATCAAACGTCCTCCAAGCTTCTCATCTCACCCTCCATCCCTGCTGCCATCTCGTAAAGAGAGCTCCTGCAGATGGTTCGTGCGGCACGGCAATTACCCATCATACCTCCTGCTTTCTCACGCTCAACCCCAGCAGCCCATTACAACCTTGAATGAAAAGTAAATCAACTTGTGTGCTTGGCACATGTGCTGTGTCACGGGGAGTTTTTTTTTTTTTTTGCCCTGAGAATTGTTTTTATTTACCAGGGTTTTACTGAAATCCACCACAAACATCTAAATCGATCGCTAATTGACAGTGATTCATCAGCCAAGCACATTCTAATGTCAACCGTGCGCAAATATCCCCAAAAATACAAGAGTAAGCCTCCACTTCCAACTGATGAAGGAAAAAAATCTGTTTATCTAACCAGAAATAAGAGTAAAATGGTGATAGAGCACCACAATATATCCCAGCGGGCATCCCACAATTTTTAGAACATTGTTTTAGATGTAGAAGGCAGGCCCAAAAGTAGGTGTAAACTTTTAACTTGTGAAGATGGTTTTGATGGGTCGTTTGGAAAACACTGGCCAAGTGTATGTGACCGATATGTTATCAATATTGTTTTTTTGGGGCCTATGGGGCACTTAAGATTGTGCCCTATGAACTCTGCCTCGCGAAAAAAAATCACTCAAATTTGATGTTGCTGTATCTGCTAGAAGGCTAGACTAGTATTGAAGCCCTATCTTGATATTTTTAACAAGACCAAAATTAATTTAAAAAAAAGAAAAACTGTGATCCAGTGGTTAGCACGTCCATCTCACAATGCAGAGGTCGTGGGTTCGATCCCGCGTGGGTTTTCTCCGGGTACTCGGGTTTCCTCCCACATTCCCAAAACATGCATGGCAGGCTAAGTGAACACTCTAAATTGTCCCTAGGTGTGAGTGTGAGCGCGGATGGTTGTTTGTCTCTGTGTGCCCTGCGATTGGCTGGTTCAGGGTGTCCCCCGCCTACTGCCCGAAGATGGCTAGGATAGGCTCCAGCACCCCCCGGGACCCTTGCGAGGATGAAGCGGATCGGAAAATGGATGGATGGAAAATAAGCACTGTACGTTTCTTGATATGAAGTCGACTCATGCTTCTGATATCAAAGTGATTTTTTTCCCCACTATGACAAGAGCTGATTAAAACTTACTTTGGACTTTTCTTGATTTATTTTGATATTTCCTCCTCTCTCTGAGTCAATATTAACATCCCCAGCTGCTACTATAAACACATGAATTGATTTATGAATAATCTTAAATGCAAGAGGGGATTACAAAAAAATCTGAATTTCAGCTGCCAGGGACTACACTCATCGATAAAGTGAATTGATATGAGGGACATTCAGACCAGTCAGAGGAGTCAATTAGAGTTTCATGAGGAACCGAGTGTTTGGAAACACCTACATCCATCCATCTATCCATCCATTTTCTAAACCAGGGGTCCCCAACCTTTTTTGCCCCACGGACCGGTTTATGTCAGACAATATTTTCAGGGACCGGCATTTAAGGTGTGGCGGAAATAATACAACAAAATAATATGGTATGAGCTGCATGGAAACTGTGGTGTTTTCGAAATATAATAATAAACACAAGGAGCGTCTAATCTGGCCGCAACACTCCGATCGCTATGGTAATGTTTAATGCCTTCAAAATACGATACAACGCAAATTCAAAGTGCATGACAATGACGACTCACCACAGCCCCGAGCTTGATTTTCTGCAACCAGACGGTCCCATCTCGGGGTAATAGGAGACAATGACACCTCAAGTGTGTCCAGTCTACTTCGTAATTTTGTTTTAGTCGCCGTTGCTGCAGAAAACCCCCTCCTCACACAGGTAGCATGTCGGAAATAGCAACAGTGCTACTGTGGCGATCTCAGAATATTCAGCCATAACTTTAATCCAGTTGTCTCGAACGTACTTTTAAGGCCGCCGCCATTTGCGCTCTCCAGCAGTTTTATTACTCATTTTGCGAGCTCTAGCGTTTTGTTTTTAAGCGTAATCGGTCACGTGACGAAGAAGCGCGGCTTGACGTGTGTCAAGCGTGACACAGACGGATGTAACGGAGAATCCGGTAATTTTTCAAAATAAAACATCTTTCGTATTCCGAAATAAATAAAACGGAATTAAGGCAAGTTCTTTCTGTGCGGCCCGGTACCAAATGCCCTGCGGACCGGTACCGGTCCGCGGACCGGCGGTTGGGGACCCCTGTTCTAAACCACTTATCCTCACAAGAGTCGTGGGTGTGAGGGAGCCAATCCCAGCTGTCTTCGAGCAGCAGGTGGGGGACACCCTGAATTGGTTGCCCGCCAATCGCAGGCCACACATAAACGAACAACCATTCGCGCTCACACTCACACCCATGGACAATTTAGAGTGTTCCATTAACCTGCCATGCATGTTTTTTGGAATGTTGGAGGAAACCGGAGTGCCCGGAGAAAACTCACGCAGACATGCGGAGAACATGCAAACTCCACACAGGAAGGCCAGAGCCGGAATCTGTGAGGCCGACATGGTAACCAGTCGAACAGCGTGCAGCCCGGAAACACCGACAGTGAATCCAAATTTGTCTAAAAAGGCTTTTGAGATGGCGCGTCTGGAATCAGACAAAGGAGGTTGTAAAAACAACGGCCGGGTCCTGTTGAGAGCTTTGCAGCGGACTCATTTTCCCCATTCACACGCGTTCCTCAGGGAGCACTTCACTTGTTAATATGAAGACAATAACTCAGAGTAAAGCATTGATCACGAGCCGAGTGCTGGGCCGAGTGATTGTTTATCTGTAAGAGTATTGATTCATGCTGATGCTGACATTATTTATTCTTTATTCATAGTCCCACTTGTATAAATACAACAAGTTTAACAAAGAATCTACACTTTGTTCAAGCCTTTTAAAAACTCAACAGGAGTGCTAGACACACACACACACACACACACACACACACACACACACACACACACACACACACACGCACACGTATGCGCGAGCGTGTGTGTCTATTTTAGTCTATATGTTGGTCTCACTGTTGTTTGGGCTTTGTGAAGAAGTCTGGTTTTGATAGAGGACAAAACTAAGGCACGCTGGGTAAGCAGTGGGAAAACGGCACAGAAGCCTGTGGCCTTTCGCTCTATTATAGGTAACACACAAGTGCACACTTTTATATCAGCCCATTTTCTGACAGTTTAGAGCCTGAGCCAACACGAGGCTCTTAAAGGTGCCTATACCACCTACATGACTCTCTAGGGGTGGGTGTGTAAATGTGTATCTCTGAGAGCACAGAGGAACCGCAGGGATCCGTCCCTGCATTTTGACTGACAGGTAAAGAGGTTGGAGGATGAAGAATATCAGCCCACAGGGATGCCCGATCCGCAAAGCCCTATTTCTGGGGGAAATCCTCGATCCCCAAAGACCAATGAGCTGACTCCCTCGGCTGGGGGCCGGGCACATGAGCACAGCGGGGCCAATCAGCAGGGCGCTGGCAGGCTGAGTGACATATATGTCTGCTAATTTACATCATTACCACAATGCATCCTGACAAATGAGCCCCCGGGGTGTGAGCCAATCACCTGGGAGGGTAATGCAATTAGGCGGGACCGCAGCTGTCAGTCAAACAGCCACAGGCAGGGGGTCAGGTAGTGATGCCTGTGGCCAGAACAACCCTGCCTATTGCATTGTCGTTCAAATCCATGCAGATCTAGAGCAGTGGAAGCAGACATGTGGGGCAGGACTGAGGGGGGTGGGGGGTGGGGGGGGCGTGCGTGAAGGGACGCTGCAGAGGAGGAAGCCCTCAGGAGACTCCTCAAGGTACACAAAGATTGACTTGTGTCCTCTGAGGCACTGTGCGTGCGTGTGTGTGTGTGTGTTTACACGTGTTTTCGCCCACTGAGGCAGACTGTTGTTTTTTTCTTCGAGCTACATGCGAGGAACAATACTTACTAGACAGGAACTCAGTAGAGCAAAGAGCTCCACCAAAGCAGAACTGTTCATAAAAGGGGAACACTTGTGCAGCATCTGCATTGTCCATCTGTTTGTTAGTTCGTAGGCAACTTCCTGTCTCAGGGTGATGTACGATGCTAGGGACATAAGGGCATTTTGTGAACGGGCCTTTTAAATTATTACATGATTAAGCGATGACGAATTATTGGGAAGCCATTTATAGTCTTGGCCCTTGGTTTGAAACTTTGCGTAAAAATGTAACCTCAAACTGTATTTGCCGATTTATCAAAATGCTCTCCATTCATGACAAAGTTGTAGGACAGATGATAGAGTCAGTGGGTCGCCGACGCAAACTGGACTGGACCATTTGAATTTCCAACCATATCACGAGCTGATTTCCCATTTTGAGATGTGGGTGAAATCTGTGAACGCTTCAAGGTTTATCAAGCTGGTGGCTCAGGGGCCATCTGTGGCCCGCAGGATGATATTTTTGCGGTCACCTACTTGGCATCAAAGTTTAATGTTAATGTGGCCGACCGTTTTTACCATCGCTCATACATACCATAATAGCTCAGGCTCATGTCAGCTTTAGGGGGAAACATAATTCCAAAGTTTAAATGGCAAATGTATACCACAAACTATAATCCAAAAATAGCCAAATATCACTTCATATCAACTAATCTCACAGCATTAACATTAAAATAAATGGCTTATAGATTATTCGTTTTTTCATAAATATACAGAGTGTGTGTAGAAGGAAAAACACAAGTGAAAATTGAACCACCAGTACTTGGGGCTTCACTGTGTCTGTGTAGTATTTGTGTTAATTAACCGACAACACAAACTGTGATCAAAACAATAACTTATTTTTTGCTCTTGTGCTCCCGGAGAGGGCAAAACTAAAGAGGAACGAAAACTCATGTAGACACGCTTTGCATTTGAGTGACACTTGCATTCGTCTTATTGGTAATCAAGTTGATCTCGGGTCTCAATAGGTGCTGTGATATCATACCGAAGCTTTCCACTGAGTCGATAAGACTTCTGCCCGGCATGTTGTTGATGTTTGTGTTGTTTTTGCAGGTCAATACTGCTGTGAGTGGCAGCCTGTCAAGCGGTGTTAATCAAAGCCTCAGACCATGAACTCATTTGCCAGTAACATTATGCTTTTAGCTTCCCAGCAAACATTATTCAATAAAACGAAAAGCAAATGATGTGTACAAAAGTGAGCCGCAGAGGTCCTCGTGGCGTCTGTGTGCTTCAGATGCTGTTTGACTCACTTGGAGTGTAGGGGGGAGCTGTGTGTTTTGTGTCCTCACGTTATATCACTAATGAGCAGCCCTCAGGAGAGACGGGAGAGGGACGGCGTGGCAGACAGAAAAAGACAGATGAAGAAAGAGAAAAAAGGAAGGGAGACCGAGATCAGCTTGGGGACTTTTTCCTCTTCGCCCTTGCGTTCCCTCTCCCCCACACCTCAGAGTCTAATTGGACTAAAACTGTGATCTAATTAAATGTCCAATTAAAGTGCAGAGAGCAACGTGCCCACCGGCGGATCACAGTAGAGGGACATAATCAGCTGGAAAAACAAACAAAAAAATCAATGCGAAATGGGAAAACATGTTAAAAACAGGAAAAAAAAAAAAGCAGCAGAGAAGAATTGTGAGGGTGTTTAAAATGAGTATATTGACTAAATATATTGGGATAAGGCAGAAAATTACCAGTATTATCCAGTTATTACAAATATTTTTTGCCTACCCTGAATATAAGAATGACTGAGAGGCAGTTTTTAATGGAGGCACACAAATTCCTAAACGACAAAGGGAACGTCTTCAGTGACTGAAGACTAATGGACTAATTTCAGGAATATGTCAGATTTAAATAACTGACACCGTTTGGCCTTGCTTCACATTTCGACACTACTTTTATCTATGTAAAGGGAAAGTCAAGTCAAAATTTTCTTGACAATAATATGTTGGTACTCCCCTTATTTGACTGCTGCAAGGTAAATTGGGCGATGCATATACACAGTACTTTGTTTTTTCAAAAGATAAAAATAAATGAAAACCGCATCAAATGAAAAACAAACAATTAAAGGGGGAAAGTGTCATTGGAATGTCAATCGTTCCCATTTCATACCACTGAGAGTCAGCGAGCGTGAGATAACTCTTCCAATTTCTCCATCTGTGAGTTGCTCACACACTGTGAACCCCCTGCGGACAGCTTCAGCCCATCAAATATTTATGTAGGGATTCAATTCAACATTCTAGTTAATCTCCTTAACAATTAGGCTGTAACGGGTCACATAATTAGGGTTTGTTATAGTCTCAATTGACCTAGTCTCTTGGGAGAAAAACACAATCTGGCTGCAAAGGGGGTTAATCCCATAACTAAACCCACCACCATATTTGCAGGTGTAAACTCCCAAAATAGGCACACTGTTGCTCACTTTGTGTCAGATTCTTACCATAGTTACATTGAAAGGGGCACTTCAGCAGATGTTTCCCAGTTCAGGGCATCGTTGTTGGGTGTGAATCCATGTCCCCTACCTGTCCTGATCCCTCATCCTGCTGGGAAGCGAGAAAGAGGATCAATCACATACTGAGACAAGCCCACCTGCTCACACAATGAACTGCCAGAATGACAGTGCTACTGTGTGAGATTGTTTAACCGCAGTTTATTAATAAACTCTTTAGCAGCCATTTCGGGATTACATCCTTCGAGGGCCATACCAAAGTTATGATAAGTAATGTGATGCAAAAATCTAAAACAGGTCTTCTGAGATTTTTTATTTATTTTAATTACGGTAGAGTAGACGACGAGTTGCATCAAATCCTCCTGCATGTTTTCGGAATGCGGAAGGATGCTGTAGTACCCGAGACAACCGACGAAAACAAGGGGAAAAAGATACATATCATCTCCACGCAGGAAGGCCAGAGTTGAAATTCAAACCCCAAACTTAATATATTTGAGGTGGAGGTGCTAACTACTTGGTCACCATGCTAGCACCTAGGAAATACTGTAAACACACAAATTGGAACAGACACGTTCACCTTTTGCAAGTTCATGGTGTTCCACTGAAAGTGTCTTATCTCAGTAACTCAATAACGTCAAGTTTGTTTTGGAGCTTACTTTGACAAGCATCAGGCGAAGTAAGGCTTGTGTCAAGTAGTGAGCACGTTCATGCTGAGGATCACAAAACGATCTCGAATGTGTCGGTGAAAACAAGAAAAAAAATTGACAAATCCTAGTTCACCAGAAAGGGCACGGAAAATGATGCAACTCGTCCTGAAAGTTATCAGAAGTCTATAAAAGATACGACAAATATGTGACGTGGGGAAGTGCCGGTCGTGGTAAATTGCTAACATTTCATTAAGTGTTCCTCTTTTTTCTGCTAGTTCAATTTTGTGTTTACCTTTGAATGCTAAACTCTCAAGTTTTCTTGCAGGGCGTCCCGTTGGATGCTGTGATTGTTAAACACTACAATTCCCATTACATTTCAATCGATACCATGTTTGTAGTTTATTTTACAAGCAAGGACGTCTGTTTGGGTGTGTTTAACAACTACATTTCCCAAATTACCTTTAGGTTAACCGGACGTTTCCCTGTCGTTTCCGTGGTCACCACGAGATCGGTTCGCCGCTGTTCCTGCCGCAGCAAGTAGAGCGGCGTCGAAGCAGACAGGGACGACTCAACACCGCCACCACCTCCATCTTCACACATTCTACAATACGATGAAACTATCAGCAATATTACCTTTCCTCTTTGACCGCATCATTTGCGTCATACTGCTGGTAAGCGCCTTTCTCTGGTCCCTGCAAATGACACTCGGTTGATTGGAGCTAAAGCGCATGCTAACGTTAGCTGAGGGCTCCTAGCCAGCCAGCCAGTCAGTCCACAGCTGCTAGCTAGCCGAACAGAGTCTCTTGTCATTAGAGGTGGCGACTTTATTTTTTTGGGCTGTGACTCATGTGCCAAACCGCTTATTCACTGCTGAGGCTCCATGAACTTGGCAGGGTGACTGGCGACGGAAATTTTTGCATACCGTTTCGCATTAACAGTTTGCGTAGACGAGCCGGTGGTATTGAATGAGATTACCGATGGTGTTGTAATTAACTTTGGTTCATCACAAACAGTTCGCATGCAATTTTTTTTTCATGCAGCGTGTCCAAACTTCAGGCATAACCATGCTCCTAAAGTTTCTTACTTTAGTCGGACTATCCAAATTGGACGGGTTAGCATACGTTTAAGGTGGTAAAATGTCAACATACTCGTTTGGTCGAAGAAATGTGTCTAACACTTAAGTGTATACGCAGACGTGCTTTTACAATGAATAAGTTTTTAACCTATGGTTATCGATTGATCTCTTCGTGTCTATGAGTGATGTTCGCGGTTGGTGGATTCCTCTGTTGTGGCTTAATCTCATTGGTTAACAACCCGGAAATGAGCGGTACCACTGTTGTGTTACTTTGTGGCTGACCTGAGAACAGTCAGCTTTGCATGGTAATCTTCCTTGTGTCAAGTTCATGATGAAAACAATCATATGAACTTTATTCATCCCACAATGCTTCAATTTCAGCAGCAATAATCGAAACCGGAGATTAAAAGAGGAGCAGCAAGGAAGACAAATGTATGTTTAGGGCAGTGAACGTAGTAATTTATTTTTACAAACCCAGTTCCAATGAAGTTGGGATATTGTGTTAAACATGCATAAAAACAGAGTGCAATGATTTGCAAATCATGTTCAAACTATATTTACTGTAATTAAATACATGACAAAGAAAAGATATTTAATGTTCAAACTGATAAATGTCAATGTCTGGCAAATAACCATTAACTTAATTTTAACATTTATGCAAAGTGGAAAAGTGGTCTGACGAGTCCGCATTTCAAATTGTTTGTGGAAATTATGGATGTCATGTCCTCCGGGCCAAAGAGGAAAAGAACCGGAAATCTGTTTTGCTCCTGCTGCCTTTTTAAAAACATATGCTCGCGTGCATGCATGTTACCGTATTGTTTCATCTGGCATACATTTTACCATGCCTGCGATCCATAATCCAATGCGTCTTGTATGTGTTAAATACAGAAATAGCCCCCGCTACTGACACTACGCCTTTTAACACGGTGGCGCCGTCTGATCGTGAAAATACAGTCATATAAATGCAACAATTCGCCGAATCAAACTGCGCAGCAGCATTAGGATCAACGCTATTCTCGTGCTTAGCTATCATTTCTGTCTTTTTCTTCAACAGACATTCAGCCTTCCTATTATCTTTATCATTAGCAGTTTTCTCTGTCTTTAGAGCCACACTTAGGGCTAATTAAGAGCAAAAAAAACCCCGCAAAGACATTGGCAGTGTGTGACAAAGAGAGCCGATTGGTGTTTGTGCGGTGCAAGAAAAAGCACAACTGAGCACTCCACAGCCAAGGCAGGGCTGTCTATGAACTGAAAATAGTGCGAGGGAATATTTCTTCCAAAATGTTTTGTATAAATGAATTGTTCGTGAGTCTAGGCATAGCCTGTGGCGTATTTGTTTGAAACATCCGGGATAAGCAATTAACTATCCTTCTTGAGTCATTGGCACACCAACAATCAGCACTCCAGTGTTTGCTTTGTGCGAGATAATGATGACAGAGATCCACTTGTAGATGATTACTCAAAGGATTCTTCACGATGATTTGCTTTTTGGGTGTGTACATGCTTGACAAATTTGGTGTCGCTAAGATGACCTTTTGCCATTTCTTTTGTAGTGTGCTTTACATCTCGCCTCCTTGGTAAAGTAAATCTGTATGAATAAACATTTAATGTGCCAAAGGGTGCTCCAGAGGCAAAACAACACTGGTTAATTCTTTGTTGAGGATAATAATGGGGTGGCATGACTCGGATAGTAGAGTACGTCCCCGGACCCTTTGGGTGTGATCCTGAGACCCCTAAATCATATTAAACAATTAAAAAAACAGGTTATTGAACCTCCATGCTCGTGATGTGTTCTCATGAATGGGTAAAGGGAGGAGACAGTGTTAAAACGGAAGCGTCAAACAAATGTAAACCTTTTAAAATGAAATGTTTTTTTTTTCATTCATGCCTGCTCTCACTCGCATATTTCTCGAAATGAGAGCCACACACGCCCCGACATTTTTCCCCGCCAAATATCCCGTGCCGTTGTCGCCCTTTGGTTTTAATAGCTGATCATTTTGTAAAGGTGATGGGCCTTACCACTCCCGGACAAGCAGAAATCACCAGTTTGGACTCAGCCAACATTGACGACGTCTTAAGTAAGACAGCAGAGAGCGCTCGACTCTTATCGCCGAATTTACATTTTACAGTATTGTAAGGGTTTTCGTGATTGTGTGTGTTTGCTTCCAGATAATGCTGGCGTTTCCTTAGTTAACTTTTATGCTGACTGGTAAGTGACTTCTTTATCTGCTCTTTTTAATTTTTGTAGTGATATCAACATTGTTAACATAATTGCACGGCAGCTTCTTTCGCACAGATAGCCACAACGAAGCCATAACGGATGCTTGGACACCCAGTTAATCCAAATTTGCTTTTAAGATAAACAAAGGGAGAAAAATAAATCCAATTTGTTTATATTTTTGCCCCGTTGGAAATAGTGGTCATTAAAAAAATATCTGAACTCTTTCCTTCAGGTGATTTTTTTTCAGTAACTTTTGACTTTAACTGTCATACAAGTATAAAAAAATACGTTTATCTCCATAAACCAAAACATAGCTTGATAACAGTTTAGCCTCCAAGTTCTGGAAATCGTAGTCAGTCCCCAAACTATACAACCTTCGGAGCAGTGGTTCGTACACCTTTTGCACCAAGCACCACCTAAAAAAAATATGTCGCTCTCCATGTCCGACCTTCATGATCAGCATTAAATTACAGTAGTGTAGCCCATACACGTGCTCATCAAAAAAATGTGACTTTTATTCATAAAAAATGTATTTCATATCATGGGAAGCCACTGTAACAGGACAATGTTGATTTCACATTCGGTCACCGTCGGAAATTCTGTAAATCTCACTTCTTTCAGGTGCAGATTTAGTCAGATGCTCCATCCCATCTTTGAGGAGGCGTCTAATATCATGCGGGAGGAGTTCCCTGACACCAAGCAGGTGGTGTTTGCTCGAGTTGACTGCGACCAGCATTGTGAGTATTTACAGCTCCTCCACTCCGCTTCTATTACCGCCCACTCCTTGTGAAAGCACATCTATCTTGTTGACACCCCCCCCCACCCCCGCCCCATGAAAAATCAGATTTTGGTTAATTGAAACAAACAAAAAAAATGCTTGCTAATTACCACCTGACAATCACAAAACACACCCATGTGGTCTCATCAACACACGGCAAATGCAATGCTGAATATACATATGCAGTATTTAAATGCACATAACATCTTAATTATAGGGCTGAATAGTTGAATTAAAAAAAAGGTGTAGAAGTAAAATCTCTGCTTTAAAGCCTTTCAGGGATCATTTTGCCGCATGGACGAATATCACAGCATTACACCCAACCACTTCGCATTGAAATATGGTGGTGGAGATGGTGGCGAGCCAGGTGGAAGGAGTCGGTAAAAGGCAGACAAAGTCCGAAGTTTGGTTCACTTCGCACTTGACCAGGAAGACAAAGTGCAGTCTATACCACGACAGCACATCTCCGATGAACAAAACAAACAAATGTATTAATGGTAACTCATTTAATATAGTCTACTATCGCTATGTAACATGTATTGCCATGCCCCCGCAAGCAGCCGGTGCACTTTCAATTGCTTTATTGAATAAACAGTAAGAAAACCATAATAAGCAATAAGCACGTGTGTACACGGTGGCCAGCAACTGCCAGCTAACTGTACACTCTCATTTGCTGACACCCACATCACTCACCGGGCCACCCACGCTCTATGAAGAAAGCCGTACGCACTCAATGACCGTGAGGATGGCGACCGCGAGTGGATGAAAATAATTCTTGCACCTCACATGCACTTACTGTGTTTTATATCGCAGTATCTGTCAAAATCATGTTTTTACTTTTTAGTTAACTTTAATTGGAAAGCTTGAATTAGTCTATCTAATATCTGCAGTCCAAAGAAGCCAACGGGTGAAAATTAAATGACAGTATGACTAATATTGATATCCTTTCAAGTATATCTCTTAAGCTCTGTCAAAGTTGTTGATTAAATGCTCTAAACAGTTCGGCACCTTTCATGATATACGCGCTTAATGGAAAGGGCTCGCGCGCACATACCCGCGCCGTATTTGATGGGTCGACGTCCGCATAGATGGCCGCTGCACCAAAGCGCAGCGCAGACACAAACCGCCCCGGCCGCAGCCCTTTTGAGATAAAGCAAATTAAAGAGAATTATTGATGACCCGCAAACTGTTTGAAGGCTAATGACAAAACTGCTTCTTCCTGTGAAGCCTGGAGGCTTAGAGACGCCCCACCGAGAGATTGACACCTGCCACGCACGCACGCACACAGGGAGGGAGTGTCTGCACAGCGAATATTTACCCCGGTGGGGGGGCAGCTTTCATGTGGGAGATCAGAGCTCAGAGCTGTCTGAAGGTTGTGTTTTCAGCCTTTTCACCGCCACCATCGCCCGCCGCCGCTCTATGGCGTCCACTAGCCGCCATCCCCCCGTGTCTGCGAGCGTGCTTTACTCTTCTTCATCAATCAATTGCATCCTTTAACTTCGCCTTCTGCCCCCCGTCTAGCCGACATAGCGCAGCGCTACCGCATCAGTAAGTACCCCACGCTGAAGCTGTTCCGCAACGGCATGATGATGAAGCGGGAGTACAGGGGTCAGAGGTCAGTGGTGGCCATCGCCGACTTCATCCGCCAGCAGCAGGTTGACCCCGTGAAAGAGATCCACTCCCTGGAGGAGCTGAAGACTGTGGATGTGAGCGGCAACAACACACGTTTGTTTGGAGTCTTTTATTACTGGCCGATAGGGCTGGACAGCGCATGGAAATCAAATGAACGGTGCAATGTGGGAGAAAGCAATTTTCAAATCAAGAAGGCTGCAATGTCAAAAAACTGGTCAATAAGATTGACGTTTTATATACATACACACAGGTGCTGCAATTAGAATATGATGAAAGAGTTGATTTATTTTTCAGTCATACTGTTCAAAAAGTGAAACTTGTGTAACGCATACATTCATTCCACACAGACTGATACATTTCAAGTGTTCATTCATTTTAATTTAGATGATTATCGTTGAAAATTAAAAAAAACAACAAAAAATAAATTCACTCGCTCGGGAAATGAATAAAATTAATAGAATAATATTTAAGACAATACAGTGTGGAGGGGGGGGGAGAGAGAAAAATCACATTCACACACATACCCAACGACTGCATAACTCCATGCACTGTTAATTTTAGCCTGTACAAGCCGAATAAATAATGATGGTAAATTGTTTATCATTGAACGAATGAAATGTACTCTGAACAGAGGATGCCCTGATTAAAGCTTGTGTAGGCAATTTTACCAAATTGATGCCATTTGCGTCCCCAGGCAAGTACATGACGATACATTTTTGCGTTGAAAGTTAACATTCGATTAGCGTAAATGCCATAGTTATAGTATCGTTGATCGTTTTCAAGCTAAACACCCATGAAGAGTTTTAGTACAGAAACAGTCAGCCTGAGATGGACCGATACACATTTAAAAGTGGACTGTTGTGACGAATAACCCAACATTTATTTTCCGTTGACATTTTATTACACACTTGACCCTCTTAGTTTTTCTTCAACAGAGGAGCAAAAGGAACATCATTGGATACTTTGAGAAGAAAGACTCTGACAACTACCACACCTTTGAAAAAGTCTCCAACATCCTCCGAGATGACTGCGTCTTTATGGCTGCTTTCGGGTGAGGTTTTTTTTTTTTTTTGTGTGTGTTTATTTCCTTTCTCTTTTCTTATTCCCACAATGGCTTCAGTGAGGTGTCCACGGTGTGGTATGAACCTTCATCTTGGTGTCCCGCCCCTCCAGATCAGTGTCCGAGTCGGAGCGCTTCAGCGGGGACAACGTCATCTACAAGCCGGTTGGGGAGAGCATCCCCGATATGGTTTACCTCGGCTCCCTCACCAACTTTGACCTGACCTACGCTTGGGCTCAGGACAAGTGTGTGCCTCTGGTTAGGGAGATCACCTTTGAAAACGGGGAGGTTAGTCCCTCGCCTCCCTATTCATGATCACATCCTCAGGGAGATCTTCGAATGGACAACATCATTTTGAACACGAATCGCTGTTTTCCAGGAGCTCACCGAAGAAGGCATCCCTTTCCTTATCCTGTTCCATCTCAAAGAAGACAATGAGAGCTTAGAGAAGTTCCAGCAAGAAGTAGCTCGTCAGCTCATCAGCGAGAAAGGTCAGCTTGTTTCATTTTATTTTGTGTGACGTGTGATGTCTTTTTCTCCACTTTTTACAGAAACTTGTGACCTGTTTTATTGCATCAGATCTGAACACGGCACTTTTATGGAACGGCGTGGAACTTTTTATCTGTGCACATGCACGAGTGCAGAGCAACAAAATTGACTGAATAGTTATAACCCTCCCAAGAGACACCCCCCCCAAAAAAACTAACAAAAAAAAAGACCAACAGAGGGAGACAGAATGGACAAGCCTCCACGAGACATATATGCTCCTTTACCCACTGCTGTGAATGCAGAAGTATGATACTCCACAGTCTCCACTTTGCTGTAGCACTTCCTGTTCTTTCTGATCGCAGTCTGCTCTTGAATAAAGTGTCTCCCTTTCAGGAAATAAATAGTGGATAGCCTTGTTCTCCTTTTTTGTGGTTTTAAGTTAGCAGTGTCATTACCACTGATGTGTGAATTTGGCCTGTTTCCTTTTTTTTTTTTTTTTTTTTTTGATTTTATTTTTTTTGCCTTTTCCTGTTCTCTTGAAGTTGAAACAGTTCACAGTAGGAACAGATGCTCCCCTTTCACTGCATTGGACATAGTCAGCGCACCACTGCTCCACTCGCTCTTGCTGCTTTTCCCTTGGTACGACCAGGTATTTCTAGTACCTGGTCAGCCGAGATTGCCTGTGTGCCTTCAAGGAGAATAGCCATTTGAGGATACATATTTAGAAATGATAGTAGAGGGGGGAATTCAACCAATAGCCTTTGTGTGATTGCAAAATGTTCTGTGTTGCTCAGGGTCCATCAACTTCCTGCACGCGGACTGCGACAAGTTCCGCCATCCTCTCCTCCATATCCAGAAAACTCCTGCCGACTGTCCCGTTATTGCTATTGACTCGTTCAGGCACATGTATGTGTTCCCGGACTATAAAGACCTCAAGTAAGCTCCCACCTCTTTCCTTCTCTCTTCTCGCGGTTGACCTCAGCCAAGGAAGAAATACCGTATTTTCACGACCAATAAGGCGCACCGTATTAAATGCATAGTGTCAGTTACGGGTGCCATTATGGTGTGTTATGTGCTTGTGAAAATACGTAAGCCTCATTTGGATCACCATTAAACTTTATGTCAACATGGGTACTACAGGTGCGTCAATTGATTGACAGCTAATCGATGACCAGATAAATCAACAACCATTTAGATGATAATAGATGAATCTAGCTCAATCTGGATCTGGACTGAAATCAAATTGGATCCTCCATGGCCATATCTCCACAATTTTTTGTTGTTTTGGAAATGTTCATTTTGATTACAAAGTTGCAAAATATTTCACGTCACCATTTACAGTCATCATGTCACTTAAATTAGCACTTGCACATCCTTGGAGTGAAAATGTTTCAAACACAAAACAAAATTCAAGAGAGCTAACTTAACGAACGGGGATCACACCAAGCACATCATTCCAGCTATGTTGGCAATGAGAAGGGCAAACAATGCCTTCAATATGAGCCAGCGGGGTTCAATGCTAAACCACTGTAAACTACAACCACGATAATCAGCATATTGTTAAATGAATCGCCGTCGGTAAATCCAGGTTTTTTTTTTGCAACTCTTGTAATGAGCTCATAGTACTATACAAATTTTTTTTTTACTTGTATATAATGTGTGGCCTACAAAAAAAGATAAGTTGAAATAAAACACTTTAAAAAAAATTATTTGGCGTCCACTGGAACGTGTGTACCAGTGCTATTGCAGTAATCACATCATGTCAAACCGATGAAGCAAATCTAATGACAGCTGACCACAAATTTGACTAGTGCCTATTCTTTGTGCTTAATGATGTCATGAGCCACCATTCTTCTCATCTGCCTAGATAAAGGAGTTTTTATTACACACACACACACACACACGCACACACACAAACACAGCATAATCGGCTCTTGCGCACCAGCCAAAAAAATGTCAGGCCCTTCTTCCACGTGTCCTTTATGAATGGGCCAGGACAGCAGCGCTAATGTGACATGATTTGGCACGGGCAATAAGTGCTAAACTAATCCATTCTAATCAAATATGCTCCTATTTATTCTGCCCCCACTCTCCCCAATCAGAGCCCGATCACATAGACACGAGCCCCGAGGACTGACCGGCCTCGCTCAGCCTAATTGCATCACATCAGCGCTGCGTGCGGCACACAGCTTGAAATTGCATTAGCGCAGCCTATGTTGTATGTATGCACTAATGCTACACACACACACACACACACACACACACACACACAAGGTCCACCAGGGGAGCTGGGTGCCATCCGCGTAACGCGACAGCCTCTCGTGACCTGTCGTTAATAAGATGCTTTATGGATTAACGCGTCTTCGTGTCACCGGCGTCTTATTGTCCCTTACAACGAGTCAGACTGGAACTATGTGGAACGCAGTGTCGGAATGTGCCGCCGATTCATGGCGTGTTCTTTGTGCTGAATCTTTCTAGTATTCCTGGCAAGCTGAAACAGTTCGTGTTGGACCTTCACTCCGGAAAACTACACAGAGAGTTCCACCACGGTCCGGATCCCACGGACAGCACGCCCGGACAGGTCTGGGTACACACCGCCTTGATAACCGCTCGAACACAATCGAATGAGATCCAGTGCAAGAGCTACGTTCAGAAAAAAACTCACATTGATAGTAATGCTCTGTTTTGATTGCGAGAAACATTCACAGTGGCGCCTCGGGTTTTGCACATTGTTTTAATAGAAAAATGACTTTGATTTAAGGTGTTTTATCGATTTGCAAATCGTCTTGGCATGGATACGCGGAAGGATCTTTTGTCTTTCTTCTCATGCTCTGAAACCATTATTGGCAATGTGCGTCACACATTGCAAATAAGTTGCTGTTGTTTTGTTTTTTTGGGTTTTTTTTTTTTTTGTTTTTATTCTTAATTAGCCTTCTGAGTGGCTTCTAAGAAACAAGAAGCTTGCGATAGTGTACAGAAGCTCATGGCGCAGACACGCAGAAAGATCTATTGTGCTTGTTCTGGTGCTGCGCAATTGTCATTGGCCCTGCGTCACACTGCAATTAGAGTACTGTCTCTTTTCTCTGAATTAGCCCTGAGAATGACTCCTAAGAAAAGGATAACTGCTCGTTGTGCTATTCAGAAGCTAATTCCAATATTTCAAACAATCACATAGTTTAGCCCTAAGCTACCTGTACAGCAAGAAGACTTGGTCATTTGAAGATATTATCTTGAGTACTGCTTTGCCCAAGGATGGTATGGTGTTCCTCAGGGTTCACTTTTGAGGCCCCTGCTGTTTTCATTGTATTTGCTACCCTTGGGCTCCATCTTAAAGGAAGCAGGGTGACGAGGTAAAAGTAATTTTGTGGGCAGGTACGGCCCCTTTTTTGCCTGCCCATGGGGACGGGCACTTGGGCCACCCCGCTTTAAGCTATGCTAGCCCATGTCGCTGGATAATATAACAATATTCACAGGCACATCTGTTTTTATGAAGTGGAATAAGCTCTTTTTCGCTCGTTAAAAACCACATTACAAATATTTAGTTGGCTTTATTTTGGGAGGCCGAAATGAATTAATGGCATCTACATTCATTTTACAGGGGAAAGATGATCAATGACTTGTACTTGGAACACTTCCCCTCGAAAAATGCCTTAAGATCTTAGCAGAAGCTGCTCACGTCATCTTTTGTCGTCTGAAATGACTTGGCCTTTGTGTTTGTCGTCAGGAGGAGATCGGGGGCGACGGGGCCAGCAAACCCCCACAGAGCTCCTTCCAAAAGCTGGCGCCCAGCGAGACTCGCTACACCATCCTTGGACGGGACCGCGATGAGCTGTGACCCCAGCCGCCTTTCCTACCAGTCACCCTTTTTGACTCAGTGCCACACCTCGGGGGGTGGGGACGTCCGGGGAGGGGAGCTTTGGGTCAGGACACAGGCCAGCGGGACAGAACAGCAACACCCAACACCCTTACTTAAAAGAGAGATGAAGAACTGGAGAAGAGAAAGAGTGATAGTGCAAAGCCCATGACACAACCATGTTGGAATAGCCTATATTTTCTTAACTTGTAACATTTTATTTGGATTCTGGGGAAAGGTGAAGACTTAAGTGCGTGGGTGTGGGGGTAGAAGCATGAGAAGTATTTTTATGTTTATTTGTTTTTTTTTTTTTCAAGCTTGTACATATGTTTTTGTTCCTTGGCATTTGTTGATCTAAATTAAATGCACCGTTATTTTTCTTTGTTGATTCTATTCACCCGTCACTCCACTTGTTCTCTAACGTGGCTCTTTTCCACCAAGGTTACTCCGACGCCGCCTCATGTGGGTGATACTCATTATGTCTTCGTAAAAGCACAAGACGATATTTTGAAGTAGTAGCATCTTCTCTCTCTCTCTGCAAGATTTCTGAAGGATTAGAAACATGTCAGCTACTTGATACTACTTGTTTCGAGCTAGGTGTAGGGAAACTGTAAGTAGATTTGCCGTGCTTTTCTCAAAACAAAAACATCAGAGGAACTGTAATAAAAAGACTGAAAACACGTGGCCCATGAAGGCACATTAATATACACTCCTCCCAAAATAGCAGAATAGGATATTGGGCTTTTGGTTGAAAATTGACAGCGAACCTCAAATTCACATGAACACGTGAACTCAAATTGACCTGTAAACATTTGAATGAGCTGTGAAGTGTTTCAGTACTTTTGCACAACTTGCTGTTCTGTCACAAGCTGAATGGCAAAATTCAAGTGTTTGATCCATGAATGCACTGATGCATTCCCTGCTTCAATTAGAATTGGCATTTAAACAGGTGTGGTCATCATGTCGCTCACGTTTCAACATCATGAAACCAGGACAACACCTAACAATTGACCAAGAGATTCAAATAGAATGTTCTCAGAATGATGTGGCCACTGAGCTGAGTCATCACCAAGTTGCAACAGACACTGGAAGTGTCACAGAAAGGCATAGAAGTAGACTGTGGATATTGTGAACAGTTGTGAATTATGCCAGCAGCATATCACAGTTGGACATTGCATCCAGAAGTTTTGAGAAGCTCAAATAACCTGGCAATGGGTTCATCTTGAAATTTCATGTGAAACCCGCCTACATTGGATCCCCTTCATGTTTCTGGTTTATTGTAATGAATCTGTTTTTTTCTTTTTTTGCAGAAACCCCTTCATGCCTTGTTTTGCATGTGTAAACTTGAGTTTTCCTGCTTTTTTTCCCCCCCATGGCAATTTTAAAAGGTGTCACTTGGTCATGAACAATGGGGCCACTGTCTGAACTAACCTTTTGTGAGTTGTTTGTATAATTTATATTGAAAACAACCACCACCACAAATCTAGCACCAAGACTGAAACAGCCCCAGATAGGAAAAAGGTTCCCTACCCCTGACTAAGATCGTCAGAGTTTAGCACAGCACTCTGAAGAGAGATGAATCCTGTGAGTTTTGCGAAAGTGGCTCGAATTAATTGTCTTTCTTTTCACTTAAAAAAAGAAAAAAAGATGCTTTTCAGAGAACAACATTTTTTTTTGTCTCTTTCCAATGCTGGGCACCCACGAGAATGTTTGATCCAGAAGGCCATGCAAAAAAACAAATCAAGTAAATTGACCTCAAACCCACAAATGCTCATCATTTGATCGTCATTGTTTTACAAAGGAGGAATCTTCCCTACCCCTACACAAAATCATTACTTACAAAAAAATTGTAATTGCCAAAGATTAGACTAAAATGACAAGTGAAAATAATTTTTCTGTGCTGTGCCACTGAAGCTTACAACCTCCACTGTGATAAATAATGAAAGGCTTTTCTTATCCACCGAGTGTTTT